GTCAAATTTTGAGTAATTTCCGTTGACTGGAAGTACTAGTTTACGCTATTTCCGATTTCTCAAAAAACGCATGTAAATTTATAAAGTACTAATAATATTGCGCACTATTATAAACATCTTTATTTGGCGTTCACTTGGTGTGCAATTCTTTTTTCTACAAGATTTTATTCTATTTATAAAATGTTAAGTATTTCAAATGGATTAAAAGTCGTGCCTATATCCCGAGTTGCCATCCCCTGTTGTTTCATATAAGAATATTCGAGAAAGTTTAGGGGAGATCACTCCCGGTTTATTTCATAATAGCGATTAAACCTTTTTGCGCCCCCAAGGGAGGGCGCCCTAGGCGACCGCCTAGTTCGCCTTATTGGTAGCGCCGGCCCTGAATCTGATGTTGACCCCGCTCAGTTCTTATTCATTAAAAGACCCCGTTTAAAGCGACAAAAATTACAATTTGAATTGGGGGAGGGGAGACTTAAGTGCGATATTCGACGATTAGGAAGAAGGGGTGAAATCATTAAAAAAAAAAGCCTGAAGTAAATTCTGGACTCCCCCCCTCCTCCTACCTATTAACCAACGACCCCGTTGGCCTACATCACATGTGTAAATCTCCGGTGACTTACTTGAGAAAGACTTTTGCCAAAAGTAACAACTGCCTCGCTACAAACCACGTGGATCTGACCAATGAGAAAAACAAATCACATTAGTTACAACATCAAACAGGCCTAAAAACTCATCTAAATGTTCAGGAAGCCAAAATCAAAGTTCAGGCTAGAATATGCTAATAGTGAAATAATGGAAAAGAGTTTAAAATATGTACATTGTATTAAGTCAGTTTGTAAGGGAATGTGAAAATAAAGCCGGATTTATCAATTGTCTCAAGCCCAATATTTAACCCAGTGAGAGTGATCACTCCAATGCAACCCTACGCGACTGTTCATTTGGTGTTACTTTGTTTACTATACTGTTCATTTGGTGTCAGGGGCGTAGCGAGGGGGGGCGGGGGGTGCGGACCGCGCCGGGTGACACCATTTAGGGGGGTGACACCAAGGCAAAAAATAGCAAAATATATAGAGTAAAACTTGAGGAGGGGGGGGGGGTGCAAATCGAAAGTTTGAGGGGGGGGGGGGGTGCAAATCTAAAACTTGAGGGGGGGGGAGCAAATCGAAAGTTTGAGGGGGGGGTGCAAATCGAAAATTTGTCCCCGGGAAGGGTCGCTACGCCTCTGGGGGGTGACACCATTAAGTGCCGCACCGGGTGACACCCGACCTCGCTACGCCACTGTTTGGTGTTACTTTGTTTACTATACTGTTCATTTGGTGTTACTTTGTTTACATATCAGTGACATCACTTAGGCAGACATAATCAGACGTGAAAACCTAAACCGGCGGGATGAATCGAATGAAGAAACAAAATGAACTGGTTTTAAAATGAAAGACTCTTGTTAAGTGGTTGAGAATGCTGGGTAGACTAAACCACGCCCCCAGGGTAGAGGCGTAGCGAGGGGGGGGGGGAAGCACATGTCCCCAGGCGCCGACCTTTGGGGGCGCCAAAATGGGTTGGGAAAATAAATTGAAAGGTTGAAAGGGGTGCACATCGAAAGTTTGAGGGGGTGGGGTGCAAATCGAAAGTTTGTCCCCGGGCGCCGGGAAGGGTCGCTATACGCCTCTGCTTTAGGGTTTGCATTACTAGACTTTAAAGAAAAAAAAGATAACGGTGGGAGTGATGTCTAAATATATGTATCCTATATAGGGGTCTACATGTATTGGTGGATTGTCTTTGTTGCAATATTTTGTGTTTTTGTCTTACTCACCGTTTGATAGTAATAGACCATAGAACAGTTGAGGATACTTTTCTTAATGTAAGCATTGCTTGTCTCGAAGAACATCCATCCTTGGAAAGGTGCAGTGCTTATGCTGTCTATCTCACACCAGTGCTGAAATCATTGGACCATACAAGTGGCTAGTCCATATATGACGTCATACAAATTAAGCAGATTTAACCCCCCCCCTCTCAAAGCAGTATTTCTTTCAGGCATCTCCCCCTCAGGTAAACCCACAGAATCACGCAAATGAAGGCTATACTTTAACCAGCTTCTCGTTTCCCCCACCCCCTCCCCCCCCCCCGTAAGTATTAGTAAGTATTAGTTGCCCCTCCTTTGGAAGTAAGTCATCCCCGCCTGGAGAAAAAGCCTGCAAGAAACCCTATTCCCCAGCTTAGTCCGCTTAGTGGGCTGTGTCTCCTTTCCCTGAATGTAGGACCCGTCTCTGAATAAAAAAAACAAACGAAGATTAACATGCCGATTATTTCATTAAAATATACTACTGAACGTATTAGGCAAATTACGTCACATTTTTACATCACATTGCCAGAAAAATCTTACCTCTCCACTTAACGGCATGAGATCACTATCTGGAAAATACTTCGAGCTTAACACACTATTTTCAAACTACACGAAGAACCAACTATATAAATTGCAGTGTTTCTTTTCACACTCCCCCTAAATGTTTGACGTCATTTAACTTGCGCCCCCTATACACGTACACCATCTCTCGAGATAGGTTAATAATAGCTTGCCATTGTGTTTGAGGCCAGGCTATGAACAGTCTTTCTTTGAGGAATCCCCCACGGATGAAATATATATATATATATATATATATATATATATATATATATATATATATATATATATATATATATATATATATATATATATATATATATATATATATATATACTTTAACCAGTGTCCGCCACCCCAATCCTCGGAAGGTTTAAGTACTCCACCCCACATCTGCGAGAAAAATGTCTGAAAGAAACCTTGAGTCCGCGATGAATGTCCCAGCTACTTTTTATAAGTTACTCAGGGGTCTCCAAACTACGGCCCGCGGGCCGGATGCGGCCCGCGAGGCACTCTCATCCGGCCCGCGGATATCTTTTTGTCCACAGAAAAAACGTTTGTTGGTGATGTCTGAGGAACTTTGCCCACATAAATGAAAGACATGCCGGAAGAAACTGGCCCCCGAACTGAAATTCGATAGTTAATGCGGCCCTCGGACTGAAAAGTTTGGAGACCCCTGAGTTACATCAATACCAAAGCCGTATGGAAAGTATTTGAAAAATGAAGACACCGGAGCAATACCGAACTAACGACTTTCGTTTATCACAGTTTTTAATGGTTGCATGTCCATACTAGATCTAAATCTTTGGATATTTTGAATATTTTTTTGTATTGTTCTGTTCTTGCTGTCGGTCTAGATCTACTCAAGGCCCCTAGGCCCTTAGCCTATATAAAAATTACACAGACGCCTATTTAAAAAGAAAGTTCTATTGGAGTCGTAGATTAAATTAGTTAATTATTAGATCTACACAGAGGCGTAGCGAGGGGGGGGGGGGGTGCGGAACGCACCGGGTGACACCACTTAGGGGGGTGACACCAAGGCAAAAAATAGTAAAATATATAGAGGAAAATTTGAGATGGTGTGCAAATCGAAAGTTCGAGGGGGGGGGGGGGTGCAAATCGAAAATTGAAAGTTTATCCCCGGGAAGAGTCGCTACGCCCCTGGGGGTGGGCGGTGTCACCATTAAGTGCCGCATCGGGTGATACCCGACCTCGCTACGCCACTGGATCTACATCTATATATATCTTAATCTAGTCTAGATCTAGCTTTATTGCAGCTTTGGGGGGTCATCCATAAATGACGTCACGCTTTTTTTGACGATTTTTACCTCCCCCTCCGTCACACATCGTCACAAAAAGCCAGACCCCCCTAAAATGACGTCACACCTCAGCCTACAACCCCCCCCCCCTCAAAATTGAATTTGTTTTTAAACATCGACATTTTTCCAAAATCTTGTCTGAACTCTGTCAAAATAGAGTATTTTAATCAATTCCTATTACAATTTATTAAAACAGTTTTCTAAAATGCGAAATAATGTCTATAATTCGTTTTCTAACATTGCTTTTTTATAATGCAAAAGTGTGACGTCGCACCATCTGAACCCCTCCCCCCTCCCCCTCATCACACACCGTCACAAAATTACGAACCCCCTCCCCCCTAAGAGTGTGACGTCATTTATGGACGACCCCTTTATAGTTTAAATTGATATTTAGATCTAGATCTAGGTCTAGACTCGGTCACTAGATCTAGATCTAGGTCTAAATTTATTCTGTTCAACTTCAAATTCTCCGAAACGGCAAACTTTTGTCTCGAAATAAAACTAAAAAGATGGATTACTAAGCACAGGCTAAAAGCTTACCTTACAGCTAAAGTCTAAAGGACCGGCATCCAGCTTTTGCCTGCCTCAGCCACCCCCCATGGAGTGTCCTAGAAATGTGAGAAGAGGTTTGTTATTCTCAATGGCCACTTAATTTTTTTGGCGTGGAAGTCCTTTGCGTACACTTATCGCAAATCTTTTACTCAATTTCAATTATAAATCTACACATTAAAAATGACGTCATTAACTTTAGCATTAAAGCAAAAAATATGGATTCTAATTACAAAATAAATTGACACAATTTAGAAGTAACAACTAAACAAGACTGCTTTACGAACAGCATTCTAAAAAAAATGTCTTAAAATTTTTAATAAAAACGCATAAAAATATCGCCTGCCACCTGCTTTTCAAAGCCTTATACCCAGAGTTTCTTCCAGGCATCTCATCTAACGCCCCCTCCCCCCCCCCCCCCTAGTGTCCCTCCCTCCTCCCCGAAAGTATCACCGGAAAAAAGTCTGGAGGAAACACTGCTTATACCACCCACCAGCCCAGCTTAACAACCCCTTCCGCGCCATGTTTGACACCCCCATCCATCCGACTGGACCCCCCCCCCCACACACACACACGCACACCACAGTCCCCTAAATTCGCGCATTACGTAAGCTACTGCCGACACTCAACAAACAATAACAATGTACACAATTATTACAATGTGGGCAATATGTTCCACACATTACTGAACGCTCCTCGCCCTTCTCGGCGTCACGTCACGAAAGTCAGGACACCCCCCCCCCCCTTCACCCCATTCCCCACTAGATGCATGGCCAAAACATAGAGAAGATCCATGCAGCTAGAATATGCTGGAAAGATCGGCGACAGACCTATGGTCTGCTGGTGAACGGAAAAAAAGTCACAGGAAACCCCCCCCCCCCCTCCCCCCAAAAAACAGTTTTTGCTAGGAAGAAAGTCAGAAAAAAGTCACAAAGGAAAAATTTTATCGGAAAATAAACTGGTAGTGATCTCCCCTAAACTTTCTCGAATATTCTTATATAAAACAACAGGGGATGGTAACTAGGGATATAGTTATGATTTTTAATCCATTTTAAATACTGAAACTTTTAAAAATAGAATAGAATCTCAGTAAAAAACAATTGCGCACCAAGCGAACGCCTAATAAAGGTGTGTATAATGGTGCGCAATAGTATTAGTACTTTAAAAATTTACATTAGTTTTTTGAGAAATCGGAAGTAGCGTAAATTACTACTTCCAGTCAACGGAAATTACTCAAAATTTAACAGAAGGTAGAGAATTAGATCTTTTACTTACATGTGAAATTTCATTTATCTATCTGAAATAGTACTCAAGTTATAGGCTTTTGAAAAATTCAAAGTAGAAAAAGTACCACTTCCGGTTGTCGGAAATCGCTCAAAAGTTGATACGGATCTACGATCTTAATATAATACTTATATATGAAATTTCATCAACCTAGCTGTAACGGTACTCAAGTTATCGTGTTTACACACGGACAGACACACACACAGACAGACACACACACACACAGACATACGGACAAGATTGCAAAATTATGTTTTTCCGTATCAGTGAGGTGTAAAACGTCGAGATTTGTAAAAATCTCGATTTTTTTTTTTTTTTTGCACGATTACAATACTTTCTCTATACTACGTATATACGAGAAAGTAAAAAGTCACAAAAATAAAGTCACAGAAAAAATGTCACAAAAATCTTTTAAGAAATATTTTGATTTAATTGTTAAGAATTGTAAATTTGTGGGTGTTTATTGGCGTGGGTTGTTTTTGTTTTAGCAGCATTTTATAAACGCAAAAGTATTATGGTTTTTAACAACAATACGTAAAAATAATATGACGTAATTTACACAGCAACCTCAACTTTTGTTACGTATTTAGTTAAATACTCGGTTAAAAAAATTAATTACAAAAGAAATTTTGGCACATCATTGTGCTTTGCATATTTGTTTTTGCCGTTGGCCATTCCTTGGTCGGCTTCTCCTCACTCGGCCTTGTCCGTCCATATTGTGTTGTTGACGTTTTGCATCAATGACAGCCTTTGTACCGTGTTGGTTTTCTGTTTTGTCCTTTGCTTTGTCATGTAATGAGCGTGATAAATGTGGGCAGAGGCGTATCGAGGGGGGGGGCGAGGGGTGCGGACCGCACCGGGCGACACCATTTAGGGGGAGTGACACCAAGGCAAAAAATAGCAAATTATATAGAGAAAAATAATAATTCCACTTAATTAAGTGATTAATTCGAGTGTTAAATAGTCTTTTAAGAGGTGCAAATCGAAAGTTTGAGGGGGGGGGGGTGCAAATCGAAATTTGAAAGAGGGTCGCTACGCCTCTGGGGGTGACACCATTAAGTGCCGCACCGAGTGACACACGACCTCGCTACGCCACTGAATTTGGGCAGTACAAGTGGTTCACCTATTGTTGCAATGAGTTGAGAGCAGTAAGTCACATTAACTACTTTTTTATGCCATTTCGCGCTAAATTAAATTTAGTATTGAACAAACACTATGAAAAAAGAGAAAGTTGGAACATTTTGTTAAATTCTAGATCTAATAAATATTAGATCTATAGTCTATATGTATAAAGGAATTAAAATGTAAATACTTCACATTAAATATTTACGTGTTATAAATATCACTATACGCATACAACCTACGCACATTTCATTAAGATTAATTAATCGTGGGGGGTGGGGCGGAATAAATTTTGCGGGGGCAGACACAAGTAGAAGTAGATGCCTGGAGTAAGAAACACTGATTCCACCCAAAAAGGGAAAAAAAGGTTTAGGCCGTAAGGGCCTAACTTGGAGTTCTTCAATTTTAAATAATCACTTTTGTTTGTTGTTTTCCATTACACATCAGAAATGGCTGGAGAAACAGAAAGGTGGTTATGTTCAGAGCTTGCAAAGTTTGGTTTAGCAGAAGAAAATGCCCAGTATGGTGTAGTTTTATAACTTAATTATTTTATTAATTAAATTTAGTCCAAATTATTTTACTTTATTATTTCAACGATTTTAATTAAAATTAGAAAATGTGGTTTTACTTGAGTGTTCGCTGTAGTAAAAAAAACTTTTTAAAATTAAAATTTTAATCGAGATCTTCGATCTGACCAGATGAGATAACAGATGGAGTGAAGAATAATAAAAAAAAAATTAGGCCCTATAGATTTCTAGATCTAGACTGTAGATCTATGTGATCTAGATCTAGATTCTAGATCTAGATACACTTTCTATTAGTTGTGCAATCTTTTCACTTAGTTTAGAGTTCAGAGTAGCCTACTCTTAGAACTCTTAGAATATTACTAGTGATTGTGTGACTCTTGAGTACTAGTTACTAGATCTAGTTAGTAATTAAGTAGGCCTAATTACTAGAGACCAGATTAGACTACTACTAGATCTAGAGACTAAAGAGAGAGATCCAACATTTTTCTTACAAGGCCTAGTTGCCTAGTCCTTATAATTCTTTTAGTGTAGCCTACGTTTATAATTTTATTTCAATATTAGGCCTAGGGCCTTTTTAATTTTTAATAGGCCTAATGTACATTTTACAGTGTCTCACCATTACTGTTTATTTAGTATTTTTTAATTTAGTCAATATTACTACAAGATGTAGATCTAGAATCTAGTCTAGTCCTCATAATTTTGTCAATATCATGCCGATTTATGACACTTCATGCTCATGTCTTTATAATTTAGCCTGGCCTATAAGATTGGGGGGGGGGGGGGGGGGGGGGAAGGCTATAATATAACCATTAATCTTATCAGTTATCACAGATAACTTATAACTATGTTTATTAATTAATATTAGGTCTCTTAGACTCCTAGTATTATGTCTCTGTCAATCTAAATCTAGAATTTCTAGATTCTATGCTGAGGTCAAGAAACATATAAGCTCTACTTCATCTGCACAGTGGATTGCTAAGTCTAAAGAGAAAGCTTTACTTTACTCACTAGTAACTAGATTCTTGTTTAAATCTAGACTTGAGCAAGTAAAGAATTGCTATGAAAATGTGATACAATTAGATTTAACACCATATTTATTTATATTTACTAATAGCTTATGGAAATGAAATTAATAAAACTTTGTTTTTTAACAGATATGTTTTGTCTATGGATGATGTTAATGACAGAAAAGAATACTTGCAAGGAGTTCTAGACTTTTCAGATTCTCATGTTAAAAATTTCTTTGATGAGTTAAGCAAACGCTTTGTTATTAAATCAAATCATAATATGCAGGTGATTCTATTTTTTTAAATTTTTAACCTTTTATTCTAAAGGAATTATTTTTAAAATTTATCTTTAAAATTTAACCATGTTGGCAATGTTTTTACATATATTTTAGAAAATACAATGTTTATTATGTTTTCTCTTTTTTTTTTTAAATCAAGGTTTATCAAAAACAAAAAGATATAGAGTTTGTTGGGAAGCCAAAATCTAAAAAGAAGCAAAAATTACCACCAAATGACTTGTCTACCTCTTCCAGTAATCAAGCAATACAAAAACCCCAAGTCTTTCAAGAAATAGTAAGCACAGACCTAGTTTTAACTAAGGATTACATTTAATACTTCATTAGAGGTAATCCCTTTATGGCATGCAGTACAAATTTTACAAATATTGAACTATGATTTAAATAAGCACTGAAATTTTATTTCAAACACTGGCACTGCAATTTAAATGTATACATTTGATTTTGTATGTAGACATGTTATTGTTCTTTACAGCATATCAATATATTGATGTTATTGTTAAATACAACAAATAAGTGTCTATATAGACACAAAATTCTACAAAAATAAACTTTTTCAGATTCCAGTGGAGTCATTAGTAATAACATACCTTTAATGATACATATTTTTATGTGAAATGTTATTTCAGAATGGTTTTTCAACTGCTTCGAATTTTAATGCTGAAATAGGAGTTGGCGCCAAAAAGAAAACTAAGTTTGTTCCATTATTCAGTACAGAGGGACAGGCCAAGTCAGTTGTTCAGTTGCCTGGTAAAGAAATTAATCACTGAGAAAATTGATTTTTGTTCCACTAACAGTTTCAACTCAGAAAATCTAAATTTTGTTTTTGTGTGCTTTCGTAGTTAGTTCTTGATACAAATATTTTAATCAATTTTTTAAACACTCACAAATACAGATATAAAATATAAATTTAAACTTTATGTAAATATTATCTCTTAACAGAACAGCAAGTATGCTATGTGAATTATTAAAAATGATTTTGTTTAAAAAAAAAATAACAGGTCGACACATATGTGAATGTCAATCAGCAAAGCACAAACTAATTAACAACTGCATACAGTGTGGACGTATTGTATGTGAGCAAGAGGGTGCTGGCCCGTGTGTGTTTTGCGGTGCACTTGTAAGTGGATTTTTAAAGTTTGGTTTTAATAATATAGTATGTGGTGTCTAATACCTTAATTACAATAATAATCTATATTATTACTACTTTATGTCATTGAGTTGCCAAACACCACTTCTACCCAATGCATTGATGCTCTTTAAAATGTCTCATTTGTATTGTCATTACATTAAAAATTCTGGATTAGAAAAAAATATAATTTGTTTCAATAATCACAATTTTCAAATATGTTTCTAAGTATTTCTTTTTAATTGCTGTTGAAAATCAGTTTTATTTATGTTCAGGAATGCAATATCACAAAACTATAACAGGTATTTAAGGAAACAAAATATTAGAAGTGAGAATATTTAATAAAGTACTGCAGACTTGTTGGTTGTCCTAACAGGTGTTATAAAAAATAGTTGATTTTACCAACCTGATAATTTTTAAGAGCTAGTACTAACAAATTAGATTTATTAGTTAGTTTATGCCAATCTTAGGAGCTTATTAATTCCAATAAGATATATTGATGTATATTTTTCTATTTATAAATTTATTTTATAAAAATTAGAATTATTAGCAGGTTTAGTTTTTATTTTGTAAATGTACATTACATGTGTTTAAAGAGTTGTGCCCCTTAGTGTTTTGTGTGGTGAAGGAATGTCTGCAGCCTTATGTTGAAAAGCCAATTTGTTAATTTTAATATGATTAACTGGACCAAATTAAGTAAAACAGCTATCTGGAATAGATTACTTTACAACCTCATTGGTGGAGTTAACATACATTCCTAGATAGGAAAATATCAAAACTGATAGAGCTATAAATAGAGTGAAGAAAACCCTTGAGAATTTTTTGAAAAAGTCTGCTATTTATTAATGGATCTATTCATTAATGGATCTTAACATAGAGTTTTTTTAACACTGGTTAATTTGTAATTTATGTTTGTAAAAAAAAAACAACTTTATTGTAGGTTTGTACTCCTGAAACACAACAGTTAATTGATAGTGGAACTAAAAAGGGGGAAAAAGTGCGTCAAAAACTAATGAATGGTGGAGGTCTTCCAGCTCATTTGAATGTCGAGGCAGAGAGCTCTTCGTTGTTTCCTGTCATTAGGCATTCTAAACAAGAATTTGAAAAAGCTGTTCAGCATAGAGATAAACTTTTAGAGTTTGATAAAAACAGGTTAGATTTCCTCTGTCTATTGTAGTTTGCTTAGAAGTCTTCAGCAATGGCAGAGGATTTTTTACCTTACAATTGACACTAATTAAGTAAATTAATGCTTAAATATGGAATGTAATTTATAGATTAAGTATTAAAATCAAGTAAACTATGTTAGTATGCTACATATTGACATTTAAATACTTTTTATTTTATGCCGAAAAAAGTTTTTTGAAAAAAAAATAGATAGATCATACATTTTGTATTTTTGCATAACATTTAAAATTAATTTACTATTCTAAAAATGTAATAAGTGATGTTTTTATATTTACTTTCTAGTGTCAGAAGAACTCAGGTGATAGACGATGAAAGTGATTACTTTGCGACAGACTCTAACCAGTGGCTAAGTAGTGAAGATAGAGAAAAACTTCGTAAACGTGATGAAGAGCTCAGGAAATCACGCCATGGTTCTAGACTAGAAAAGAAATTTACCTTTGACTTTGCTGGGAGAAGAATTATTGAGACAGAAGACGACAGTGCTAAAAAAATGTACAGCTTGGAAGACTCTATAGTTCAGCAGGTGCACTATGGAAAGGTTGCTGCTCAAAACACCCCAGAGTTTCACAACAAAGATTTTCAGCCATTGAAGGTAAAACTTTTTCTATGGAACCCGTATCTGTTTTACATCTACTCTCTGTAAGATTTTAGAAAGCAATAGGACAGTGATATTGCCCAGTGAGTTGTTCTACATAAAGATTTGTGGGCTATTTTACTGAATGTATAAAAGAATTGTATGTTACTATTTATCAAAATTATGTATGTTTTAAAAATGTTCAGTAGAATGGTGTAATTTGTTTTTAATAGAGTTATCACACTTGCCTACCAATATCAATCTTATCAAACTTGTCAGACATAATCATTCAATGAAATGTGCAGTGTGTTGTTGATGTTACTCTAATAATATTTGACATTGTATATTTGATAACATATTCTTACACCCATTCTTTAACATGTTTAATCATTCAATATGATTATTAAAAATGTTTTAAACAGTTTTTGGAAACCAATGAACCCGGTCGCAGCATCAAGCAACCTCTTGAGTCTGGCTTCAAGAAAGCTGTGAGTAGGATTCAGGATAAAGAACTGCAGGAAATGTCTGATGAAGGAATGTGTTTAAGCATGCACCAGCCTTGGGCGTCATTGCTAGTTGCTGGCATCAAGATGTGAGTTTAGTGCACTAGTTACAACGCAGCCATAATTTTAAGTTGTTACAAACCAAGTGGTTACTATATTGTATCACAAACCCCAATGCCATTTTTTTTTACAAAAAAGATATTTCATTTCTTCTTTACAAACCTAGTTGTTACTTCATTTTTTTTTTAAACCTAGGTGTTACTTCATTTTATAACAAACCTCAATATTAGTTCTTTTTATAACAAATCTAGATGCTAGTTCATTTTATAATAAATCTAGATGTTTGTTCATTTATAACAAAACCAGATGCTAGTTCATTTTTTTTTACAAACCATGGTACATGCTAGTTTATTTTTCTTATGGTTGAAAAAAAAGTCTGAATTAACTTTTTCTTTTTAAGGCATGAAGGAAGAGGCTGGTACACTGCTCACAGGGGCAGGCTTTGGATAGCATCCACAGCTAAGACCCCTTCGTCTGATGAAATCAAGGAGCATGAGAATATCTATCGTCATATCTATAATGGTAAGTTTAGAGCAACTTCCTTGATAAAACTAAAGGCTTATTATAAGTCAAAACTAAACCATATCTGATATAAAAGAGTTTACTGTGTATCATTATAAAGATATGTTAAATGTTAAAGCCTTTTTAACATTGTCATTCAACTAAGGGATGTATCAACACTCAGCTTTTTCACAAGAGTTAATAAACCAGGAGTGATCTCCCCTAAACTTTGTCGAATATTCTAATATAACACTACTGGGATGGCAACTCGGACATAGACAATATTTTTAATCCATTTTTTAATTACTTAAACTTTTTATAATAGAATAGAATCTCATAGAAAAAAGAATTGCACACCAAGTGAAGGCCAAATAAAAATAAAATATTATTAGTACTTTATAAATTCAGGTGCGTTTTTTTGAGAAATCGGAAATAGCGTAAATTACTACTTCCGGTCGATGGAAATTACTCAAAATTTGATAGAAGGCAGAGAATTAGAACATTTACTTACATGTGAAAATTTCATTTATCTATCTGAAATAGTATTCAAAAATTCAAAGTAGAAAAAGTTCCACTTCCGGTTATCGGAAATTGCTCAAAAGTTGAAACGGATCTACAATTTTAATATAATACTTAAATATGAAATTTCATCAACCTAGCTGTAACGGTACTCAAGTTATCGTGTTTACAGACACACAAACACACAGACATACGGACAAGTTTGCAAAACTATGTTTTTCTGACTCAGGGAGCCCTAAAACGTCGAGAATTGCAAAAATCTCGATTTTTTTTTTTTGCACGATTACAAGACTTTCTCTATACTTTGTATATACGAGATAGTAAAAATCAGAAATGTTGATGACCACTGAACTTTATGGGGGCTTAAAAAGCCACTTTCACTCAATGTTCTCTAATGTGTCAGCCCACTTTTAGGATTGAATCTCATAGACTTCCCACTTCTCTTTCTTACAACACCCAGACAGAACTTAAGCTTTTACTTCAACCAACTAGATCAAACCCACTTCTCAGTTCACTCACTTAGACCAACTAACTCCCCTTTTTCTCCACAACAACACAAAGTTGTCACTACCTTACATACAATTCATAATATTGTCCATTCATTATTTCTTTGCACCAACATTCATTCGCACCAAAATACCCTCATATAACACACTCCATAACAGTCATTATGAAAATAAAATTGCAATATTTATACCTAGCTTAAATCTCGCCCAACTAATGAAGTAGCCATGTATGCTATTGTTTTATTACTTCCTTGCGGACCCTTAAAACAGCATGTCTGATAAAGATTGATATTGTATCTCTAGATGCTTCAATAGAATTCCCCAGTAGTTACCCAACTGGCTCCCTACTTGGGTGTGTTAATGTTGATGACTGTCTTTCTCAGGATGAATATAGAGAACAGGTACCTAAATACAAATACTTTATACTGTTTAATAATTAATGCTTTTTACCAAAATTAAAAAATAAATGCTTATTATGTACTACAATCATGATCCTTTAAATTATGTTGCTCTCATGTTTTTATGTGATAAATGTTTCAGTTCCCCAATGGAGAGTCTTCATCTCCTTATGTTTTTATCTGCTCCAACCCTAGACAGTTGATTGTCAAATTTCCTATTAAAGGCAAGCATAAAATATGTAAGTAACATTTTATTCACATTTGTGGGTTTTTTTTAAAAGATGGAATCTACTTTTTATAATTTTGTCACTTTAGAAGAAAAGGTTGTGTCACATCTCATAAATGTTGATATAATGATTTAACTCTAACCTTTACCCTGCTCACAAATCTAAAAATAAATATTTAGGTCAGTGTTTCCCATGGGAGGAAGTATAGAGGTCAATTTGATTGTTGTTACAGTTTGATGCTTTTCGTGTGTGGGGAAAACCTGGAAGCTAAAATATTTTGACCTATTCTAGAGTACTAAATTTAGTTGTAAAATGTATCAGTACATGTGTCCTTAAAGCTAGTGCCAATTAAAATTATTTTGTCAAGAACAAAATGAAGACTGAGACTTATTCTACACACTGAAGTAAAATAACTTAAAAAGTTGTGATTTCCCACTTCAGTTGATACAGCCAGTGCTGGTGGTTTCTCTGATATTTCAAATATCATCAAGAATATCTATCATTAGCGCAAACAAATAGGCCATTAAAATTTTATTTAATATAATAGTTGATAATATGGCTTTGTGAGAAAAACAAAATGAATCATTTGCTGGTTTCAAAACATTGCTGAAAATAATAAAACTGAAGTTAAATATATTGGAAGCTGAATTATATAAGTTATTTTACAAATACTTAGATGTGACACAGTTCAAAACAGGTTGGGAAACACTATCAAGACAGCTTTTAACTTTTGTTTCTATATTTTCGGTATTGGTTTTTAACAATTCACACTTTTTTGTTTGCAAAAATAATAAATCACAACATGAATTAACAGCTACACAAGTAAAACTAGCTCTGTTGTAGTCCTTTTGCAACCTTCATTCATTTTCACCGAGCTCTGGGTCTAGTATATTTCATTTATAGTTATTTTTTTAAAAACATTTTTTCATTTCAGATAAATTAGAGCAAAACATTCATCAAGCTGCTAAAAAGGGAATTAGGTAGCAGTAATCCAAGTTTCTATGGATATCTGCTACAAGATTTTACAAGAGATGTTTTTTTAAACTGTAAGAAAATCATCATAAAACAAATAACTTATTGTGATTCACACTGTACCCACTAGGCCTATCTGACCTAATAAAGTCAACATTATTTATGCTATCAATAGATTTGTTTGTCTTTTTTTTTTAAACATAGCTCTGGTGTTTGCCAAACTGAAGCAGCTGGATTAAACTTAATTAATAAAAAATTTAAAACTCATTATTTTAGTATAGAAGTTTGCTTAATAATAGCTGTGAAATGTAATTCCTTACTGTCCAATGTGACATGCCATTTCCACATTGTCAAATGAGACATGTAATCTCCACTTTGTACAATGTTATATATCTATATGTAATTTCCAATGGTTTCCAATTTAAAAAAAAAAAAAAAAAAAAAATCAGCAAAATTTAAGTCCGAATATAGATTCTATGGCTTACACGTCAAATTTTAGGCCTCAAGAAAATGAGTGTTTAAAAATAAAATAAAATAAAAATGCCGGGCAAGCAGTAAGCAGCAGGTTTATTGAACCACTTTTGGATTTTAAGTATGGGGGGGGGGGGTGTAAGAAGCTCAAGCGCCATGTATCAAGGCGGAACTATCCAACAATCATGATTTTTTTTCCCAAAGACCATGCTAGAATGAGTTTTACAGTATCTTGGGTACCAGAGTTATATCTAAATCAAGTGGGCTGGAGTGAGACATTTAAATCAATAAATAGTTCGATCAACGAAGAACAGACAATCTCTCAGCGATCAGCAGAATATTTTATTAAACTCTTAAATTCTTTATTGTTTCCCTTGTTTATTTGATGTATGGTTTATCCTATTTACACCACTTAATGCTTGACGCGTTATTTATTGAAATAAAAACTGCAGGTAAAATACTGTGCCATAGTTGGATCATGTCTTGTTCGCCTCAACCCAACAACCTTCCCCACACCACCCCAATAATGGATTGCCCTTAGCCAATCAACACGCAAGATTCGCAATCCTCGAACGCTGATTGGTTCACGCCATAGGCTAGACAACAAGCGTATGCGGCCTAAATCTCTCGAGGTAGGCTAGAGAGAGAGCGACTGAAATAGAACTACGTGCAGAAAGGCCTTTAGTGTTTATCAATTTGAAGAAACGTGAGCAGGTGCATGAATTTATTACGTTACGTGATTATTGAACAGACCCACCTTTTATAATGACATGAATTTGGGCCTATTTACAAAAAAAATAAATAATGCGTAGGCCTAGAATCTATATAGATTCTAATTCTATCTACACGGCGTTTAATGCACATGTATTGTTTAAAAAATGCATTTGATTGAGTTCCATAATTAGGCATCCACTTAACCACAATATGGGGTTAGATTTAAAACTTGCAGTTTTTTTTAAGTTTTTATTTTTAATACAGCTACACCAAGTAATAAAACAACCGTAATAGGGAAGAACTAAAAAATCTGTATACAAAACAACAATTCGTGTTTACATCAGCGAAGTATATCTTGCGTAATCCAATCGCCGTCATTTTAATCATCAACATTAAACAAAGAATATTGAATGTGAGGTTTTAAAGCCACAACCACTGGCTTAAACTTAAACGTCATAAATACAGTTATACTAAAATCTAGATTATAAAAGTATATTTTTAAAGCGGGCGTTATTGATTGTTAATTTCACGCAAAATTATGCTTCGATAGTTCTAATAGATTTATAGAATCTGGTAAGTATTTCACTATATGTTTCGTTGCCCCATTTTTAAAAAGTGGCCGTACCCCTTTTTTTTTCATTTTGGTTGGAGGTCTGTGTAGTGGGCCTGTGCTAGGGGTAACCAGCTACGCAAAGCGTTTCCTGGTTATATTTAGAACAGTTGTTACCTTTTTAAAATAAAACGTTTTTAATTGTGCAATCGTAACACGGCGTTGATGATACGAGTGATACTAGTGTTTATAAATATTTCATTTCCAGATAGATTCGCATTATAACGACGTTTCTGTGTGATGAAGTGAGAAGTGGATTGCCACGCTCCAGCGATCCTACTACAACCGAGTGTACTGGCGTCACTACGCTAGAAACTAGTTAGGTGAAATGGATTCCAGTGTGTTGATTGGCGTAGTGTGCTCCGTGCATTTAAGTGTGTTTTAACCAACGGTTTCGAAAAAATATTGGATTTATATTGTTTTAAATATATTCCTACACACATTTTACTGTTTAGCGTTAGAATTAATTGGATTATCTTTAGCTGAAGCGCTGACTGACACATTTGCCTGCATGTGTTAGTGTCAGTCACCTCAAGCCCTAGGCTCAGAGATGGAACAACGAAAGCGGATAGAGGAAGAGGTGTAGTTTTGGACAAAGAAGGCACAATCTTTTGGATTTAGAAAAGCATGGTATGTTATTATATATTTTTAGTGAGTTGTAGCTACAATATTTTAGTTTAAAAGTTTAATACAGTTGTGAAATTGAGTAATTATTATAGGGCCTAATTATATCATTTGAAAATTTTTTTTTTTAAAAACTTTGGAAAACTTTTTGTTTAGGCCTAGTCTAGCCTTTTTAAATTTTTATCTTTCTATCTAGACTCTAGTTTCTAGTTAGACTATAGATCTACTAGATTTCTAGATCTAGATTTCTATATGAATATGGGACTATGAGGTTGTTGTACTCAGAAGCCTAAGTCCTTAAGTCCTACAAAGCTAAGACGGCCCAAGTAAAAAAAAAATATTCTAGAATAATCCTAGATTCTAGATCTAGGCTATATTAAATTATTAACTATTAACATCGTAGTAGGCATAGGCAATACGTTGGATTAGATAACAAATGCTAACCTTTTAAAATTAGGCCCTTTAGTTTAGTCCTATTATTATATTATATAATATAATTCTAGGTTATAGGCCTAACGCCCTAATGGACTAAGATTGATGAAGTTAAAAAAAATTGGCTAATTTAAAGTGCCCTATGGTTTTGAATAGGCCTATGATATACTATCTGTAGTCCTGTATTACACTATCTAGGCTTATGTGTCTTTGATATATAAATCTAGATCTACTATATATTACACCCAGGGCTTGTATACTCCAGTTAGCCCCCCCCCTATATTCAATTTATTAATCACAGTCCTATCTAGATCTAGTAATAGTAGTAAATGTTCTTGTCTATGCCTTACATTTATGCATTGAAGTTCAATGTAAAATAAATAATTTGGTCCTTTAGGTAGACCTATTTATACTTTATAGCCTAGCTACAATAAAGTTACTTTTATATTGGAGTTAATTAATCTCACTAAACAAGCCTAACATAGTTGGCATTGCTAAAATTATTACATTCTAGCTCACTATTGTTTGTTACTTAGGCCCATTCAGTTTATAATACTTCACAGGTTACTTAAAATAGAAAATAAAATATGGGACCAGTTGGGACATGAATAATCTTAATAAGCCTATTATCATATTATGCCTGTAGGTTACATGCTTATAAATATGTTAATAGACCTAGGCTTAACTACATTCCCAATATGCTAATTCTAATAAGCCCGCAGGCTATTTCACACCAAATTTTCTTAATGTTGTTGGGGGTTTATTTAGTAATAATAAAAAGTTGTAGATTCTAGATCTAAGTCACTGTAATTTTTTAAAAATACGAACAGGATCTAGATCTAGATCTAGCTCTACCAGATCTAGAAATCTACATCAAGTTTAGTTCAAAATCTCAGTTAAAAAAAACAAAACAACGATGGTTTTAAATATCTGTAGTTGACATACGCCTGCTTTTTTTTTCTCGCAAAGAAATCTAATTTTAGAAATTACAAATCTAAATCTAGATTCTAGATCTAGTCTATATCTTATTTTAATTAGTACTGATAGACCACCCCGAGCCTAAAATTCCAGTTTTTATGCAAGCAAACGGATTATATTCTACTTGATTTATAGGCCATTGAATGGCGGACTAAACATTATTGGCGATTAGTTTTTTTTCCCCGCAATAATACGAACTAAACGAGGCGTGAAGTGTTTTTTTAATGGATGAAAGCCGATACGTACTACATTTTTTGTTTAAAGAAAGTCATGAGAAATTGAAATTAGTTGGCTATTCATTTAGCCTTTTGAAGTTCTTAAAGAAACAAATCTTGGGAAGCGCCTCATCCGGTGGATCCTGTCATATTTTTGTTGAAAAGAAAAAAAAAGAGCGAAACCGAAGGAGGAAAACATGAAGGCTGAGGCCTGCCTCTCTGATCGTTAATGCTTCAGTCAGATCGACACGAACGCTGTGTGGAGAAGGGGAGTAGCTGGTTGTCTCGTTTTGGTCGGTAATGATTTTAGTTTGCTGTCGAGTTATTAGTTAAATAAATAGCATGTTGGGGGGGGGGGGGACGCTGCGCTTGTTTAATGTTTTCGTATTTACTAAATAATTAAAAAAAACATTCCTGTCTTAGAATTCTTTTCAATAGCCGTGGTTAAACAGTTTTAGAAGTTTTAGTTAACTAAAGACTAGTTAGGCTAGACTCCGAGTGTTTTTGTTTTAAATAACTGTGTATAGCTGTACAGCTTTATAAATTGTGATTAATATTATTTAACCGCTGTCGTCCAGTGGGACATACAGAAATACCATCACTCAAACCAAAGCACTGCTGATTTTCCCCCTCATACTCAGCCCCCCCCCCCCCACACACACATACGGGCAGAAATACCATCGCTCATTTCTCACACATGCCCAAAGACCCCTCCATACCACACGCAAAAACACACCCAAAATATCTTTCAAAAACTAAATGTAGATCTATAGCCTGGGTTAGATTATTAAAAAGCTGCCTGTCAAGTTTAAACAAATTTTACCGTCTGTAAATAAAAAAAAAAGCCGTGATGTTTTGTTTAATAAATCTAGTGGCTCACGTAATTGATTTAAAATGGATACTTTAAGGGGGGACCAGTACTTAAAAATCGCAATTTCATTATCTTTTTGCCTATGTATATTTAATAGTCTAATGCAACTCTAACATCCCATCAATTACTTGAACTAATCTACTGTACTCAAAAATGTGTTGAAATACTTATTTTAGTGTTTATAGATGCCTAGTTTTGATAACATTTTATTTTTTACAAAAATAAGCACTGACACTTTTTGGCCTACTCCAAATTTTCTAGAGAAGAAATATTAAAAACTGTCTTACAGAATACAGTGAAACTTGCACAGTCTTTACAATATAGGTTGTTCTGCAAACTGATAGAAGCTTTTAATGATACCTTTCTTTATTTAATTTTTATGGTTGTTTAAAGTTCATGTCTCTCCACAAAGACTCTTTTTTCTAAGTGACTTTGAAAAAAATTCATATTTTAAAAAGTTTGTGTTTAATCTAAACATCCTTCTATCAGTTTGTTCTGTAACCATTTCTAAATGTGGCTTTTACTTTGTGTGTTATTATGTCTTATACGTACTGAGATTTTTAGCATACAAAATTGCATATAAAAATACATATAAACTCAACTTTTTGGGGTTCAACATTTGTTCTCAACATGTTTGAGATATGTTATCTTTAAAACATATCAATATCTTTGTTTTAGCTATGTAGACAATGTTCAATTGCTGATCTTTAATAAAATAAAAATTAAGTACCGGTCCCCCCCTTAAGGGTATCGAAATAGTGATCTTTCAATTGTTAGCGCTTAGGTTTTGGTTCGTTGTTTTAGTCCATCCTTTTTGTCTAACTAGCGACTGGAAAAATCGTTAACTACCAGGTACACAAACCGTAACTCGCAGTGTTTTTTTTTTACTCCCCCCCTTCCTTTCCCTACTACTGTTGCCAACAAAATCAAAGCCTACTGTCAGCAATCCCGACGGTCATTTTGTAAACCTTTTACAACTGTCAGTCAGAATGTGAACAATAGCTCCACACCCCTACAAGACTAGGGCCACAGGGTCAGAGGTCGGTGGCTGGTTAGAAACCATCTCGCCTTGCCGTGTCGGTGTGTAGTCGTCCTTGTGCGTGATCTACTTGTAAATGTGTACGTGCCGTGTTGCTTTCTCTTTCTTTAATCTGAGTAGAGTTTTTATCTGCGTGTTTTGTGTGTGTGGAAAAGGGGGGGGGGGGTATATAGTCTATAAAATGTTCATTTAGTTTTGTTTAAAATCATTTGTTGACTAAACGCGTGTACTTATTCGTTCAATTGCTTAAAATACAACATAAATAAACAACTGGTGATTTCTGCCCACATCACCGCTGATTGGCTTATATAGACAATTTATTACAGTGTAGTAGTTGTACCAAGTATGAGCCTCAGTGAACACATGTCTACAGTACAGTAGTTGTACAAAGTATAGGCCTGAATGAACACATGTTTACAGTACAGTAGTTGTGCCAAGTATAGGCCTCAGTGAACACATGTCTACAGTACAGTAGTTGTACAAAGTATAGGCCTGAGTGAACAAATGTCTACAGTACAGTACTTGTACCAAGTATAGGCCTGAGTGAACACATGTCTACAGTACAGTAGTTGTACCAAGTAAGGGCCTCGAGTGTGGTGGCATGAACTTAATTATGACCAGGATAAAAAAAAACACTTGGCTTTATTTTTTTTTCTTTGTCACCTCACATCCCGTACATAAGTGCTTCCTGCGTATCGCAGAAATTTCTGCTTGGTAGTTCTGTTTAAAATCGCTTCACAATCTCCTACCAATCATTCTTGGCTTATCTCTACTGTTAGGCTTGACCTTATACACGACAGACAAATACAGGCTAAAAAAAAAAAACAAAAAAAAAAAAAACACTACAGGCTAGCATGTGACGCTACATATAATATTCAGTAGTTGGGCAATAGCAAGTATTTTTATACTTCTATGGTTAGCTATGTTTTTTATATTATAAAACATATTAATCTGTGCACAAAATAAAATTTCTAAAAGATCCATTTTCCCTTAATTTAATAAAACAAATAAGAAAAAAAAATCCATTCGATGAGCACGTGTAAGCCATTAGACCCGAGCAGCTGTTTTTTTAGCGCTTAAGTCGGCCCATTAAAAAGGTTTTTTCCTTTTAGCCCAGCACAAGACTACGACCCCTGTGTTTCCTCGTACACTATCACGCTGGCTTTTTTTTTTTAATGGCGAACAAGAAACTACTGCATCCACTTCTGCCAGTATCTGCTGCATGACGTGGTGCCACTGGCTGGAATTCAAGGCATTTGGCAGATATTCGGTCTGCATCCCTCGGGTCTGTTGTTTCCCCCGATCTAACTACGTGTTGTTCTTCACGTACGATTGTTGTATCTGTAATGATGCGCGTACACTGTACGCTCACTTCCACCCGACAAATAGCCCTAGGGGTATGGGTAGCACATGGTGGGAACCGCTGTTGTAGCGAGTGTTGTTTTGAAGCTGTTTTTTCACAAGCCTAGCCAAACATTTATACACCATTTAAGCTACACACAATTGTCAATTAGTAATTAGGTATGTTGAACGGGTCTGTGTTAAAGCTACACATAATTATGTGTGCTGAACTGGTCTCGGTTAAAGCTACACATCATTATGTTTGTTGAATCTGTACGTGTCAAAGCTACACACCATAGTGCGCTGAGCTGGGCTGTTTGTTAAAGCTACACACGTTTACGTGCCCACAATGTCATGCCTGCAAGGCCAGTAAGAAGTGCTGAATCTGTGCAGATACAATGTAAGCTATTTCATGCATGCTTTACAATTTGTTAGAGAGAGGGAGGGGGGGCGATAAATCTTCACCGTGAAATAAATGTATTACTATTAGCATTACCTCAACTGGACTCCTTTCCCGTTACACATTCAGTGTTTGTTTAAATGTGTAGAAATTATGACCTGGTTTAGAAGTCATGTTGGTCTAAGGAGGCTTTATTGTGCTCGTTGGCTTAAAAATTCTTATCATGATCGCACCTTATTGACAGAAAGCCTCGACCAAATCAGTTGAAATTGAATTATGCTAGCGTTTTGAATACCCGCATTTTAATAACCGACGGATCGATTTATTTCTGGAGACTACTTGGTGTGGTACAGTGGGTCCCCCCCCCTCTCGGTGTTATACATTGGTCCGTCTCCTTCCCCCCCCCCCCCCCCCCCCCCATGTTCTAATCGTTTGTCCAGACGGCGGGTTAGTACAAGCCAAAACAATTTCCCATTTTCTGCGTTACGTCTCCCGAAACAGCTGTGTGCCCCTGTGAATAGTTCACCCCCTGATTACAGGGAGGGAGGTGGTCTTTGTGTTGCCGCGGTCGGCTGGTGGGACGCGGGGGAAATACGTGCGTGGGGGAGGGAGGGGTGCTGGGGGACAGAGTCAGAAGACATCGGTGATAGAGACATCATATGCGGTTATTTAAATATCGTTTGCATCTCTTTAATGTTGCGGCTGTCGTGTTCTCCTAATGTCTACTCTTTATGCCTGCCTCCACGCTCTCCCGCCGAATACCGCAGTATCAAATGTATGACTCAGAAGCAATCTACCCCCCCCCCCCATCCCTCACCACAGCCATGTTTTTCTTTTAAGTGGGGTCGAAATGTGTATACGGTATCACACAAGTATGTGGTCAAGCTATAAGTTTGACTTAAAATATATTCAGCTACTAAGAAAAAACCCATCTTGGGGGCCCTTACTAAGTAGGTTAGGGTTATAGGTAAGGATTTGATATCTTCAGCGTTTTAACATCATGACTGAGCATGCATCCAAATTGGATTACTTTTTTTAGTCACGTCATGTATCTTACCATATTAATGTGCGTGGCGATAAAAACATCTTCGAATAGATAATACAGGTAATAACGCAAGCTCTAAACTAACTACTGCCAGCCCCATTCTTAACCTTATCCTAAGGGTAAAAATATCGGCATTATTGCTGTGTGAGACAATCAATAGGAACCCACACAAGTTAGGCATGTATCAATATCAGGCAACACATTAATGTTGTGTGTCACCACCATGACTGTACACAACCTTACCTTCACATGTTTGCTGTGATAACCATTTACCTAATTATTTTTTGCTTCTCAACTTGCTCAAAGTTTGATTGACAGCACCTTTTGAAGATAAAAAATAACAACTACTACAAAATGTCTTGTAAACTATAAGTCAGCATACACTAAGCTAACTACTATTATGCTCATTTATTTATACTGTTCAGCTTTTCTAGATTAAAAAATAAATCACTTGTTTACTGGCAAAAGCTAAAATTTCTTTAAGCAATTGCAAGCAAAGAGATATTTTGTCTGTTTGATGTTTCTTTTATTCTGTTTGTAAAATCTTATCAAATAACAACTTTAAAAAAAAATCCACCTTTATTACAATTTTAAAAATAATTTTATTAAAGTCTGTACTAATTGTTATATTAGTTAAATTTTGGTATCCACCATCTGATTAAATAGTAGCTACTGCTATATTCCCCTGTGTATATTTTGTCAGCCTAATTCTCTTGTAGCAACAGCCTTATTCCCCTGTATGTGTTATGTAGGCCTAATTCTCTAGTAGCAACAGCCTTATTCCTCTGTATGTGTTATGTAGGCCTATTTCTCTTGTAGCAACAGCCTTATTCCTCTGTATGTGTTATGAAGCCTATTTCTCTTGTAGCAACAGCCTTATTCCTCTGTATGTGTTATGTAGGCCTATTTCTCTTGTAGCAACAGCCTTATTCCTCTGTATGTGTTATGTAGGCCTAATTCTCTTGTAGCAACAGCCTTATTCCTCTGTATGTGTTATGTAGGCCTATTTCTCTTGTAGCTACTGCCATATTCACCTGTATGTGTAGTAGGCCTAATTCTCTTGTAGCTACTGCCATATTCACATGTATGTGTAGTAGGCCTAATTCTCTTGTACTTCCATATTCCCCTGTATGTGTTATGTAGGCCTTATATTCACCTGTATGTGTTCTTGTGGCTACTGCCATAACCCCTGTAGTGTGTAGGTCTGATTATCTTGATCCATTACTTAATAGAAAAAAATATTTATTGTATTTACTCACTTGCAGAATAGTATGAAGGTGGTTTATTTTTTCTAACAAAGCAATGTTGTTTTATTGATGGTTTATCTGCTGGTACAGCAATACCTTCAAAAACTAGCTTTGATTTAGCTGGGATGGTATATCTGGGCCATAGTTACATTTATATCTACCTGTGTAGTAAATCAGTTTAATTGCATGAGTTTTTTTATGACTAGAAATGTTTGTGAAAATCTTGAAATCATAGATCTATTTGCCTTGTAACTACTGTGTTTCTTTATTTTTTCTTTTGGTTTTAACTGCTGCATCTTCTTAAAAGAGAGTGTATTACTGTACACCTCTATTGATACAGGTGCAATAATTTATTGATGTTTGGCTACAAGGTTACCTAGTTCTTAGAACTGATGCAATAATCTTTTGCTGTGTTAGGTATGAACCTGGTGCAGTGTAGGCCTATGGGAATGGAAGTGGGTGCATGAACTGTTGTTGCTTTGGCCAGTATTTGTCTGTTGTTATATGACTCCTTTCTTGTTGCAGGCACATGTCATGTTGTTCAACATGTCCCCGGTTACTTACTGTTAGCTGATGCGGCCTGGAACATCACTCATGTAGTGCCATATGTAACCATTACAGGCACTTCTTGCTGTTGGTGCCCTCTTTGCACCACACTCCCCAAAAGATGAGCAGCAACAACGTGGCACATGTTGCCTCTGTGGATAAGGGTCTAAAGATGAAAATCAAACGCACAAAAGGAATAAACAAAGTTGATTCTAAACATGAAGTTGTCAAATCAGATTCACCTTCCAAAACTTCCACGGTAAAACCTGCTGTCTCATCCCCTGTAGTGTCATCGTGTGGGGTCGCCATGAGCAGCACTACACAGTCTTCTCTCCTGACTCTAGTGACATCGTCAGCTCCCACGCTGGTTGTCACTTCTACAATGGCAGTCACCAACCCCACAGTGACTCTGCTCAAGGCAGTCACAAACACACCAGCTGCTGAAAACCTTTCAGCCAAATCCCCCCTTAAGACACACACCCCAACAGGAACAGAAAGTAAAGATGGGAAGTCCCCCAAATCTAAGGCAGCAGCAAACAAGAAGGGCAAAGACATAAAAGCCAAGCCAGATAATTGTCAATCTTCAGCACCAAGCCCAGCATCCAATCTTTCTTGCTCACCATCCCATGCAGGCTCGCAGATGTTCACACCTGTCACCTCTACAAACTCAGGTGGTAGTAATTCTAGTCTCACGTCTGAACCTAGACCTGGGGATACTGTTCATGTCAAAAGGGAAAACCCACTTCATGATCCCTATGAATTTAATGCCAAGGTTGAGGATAAAATTGAACTTCCCCCAAAGAAGTTAAAGATTGAAAAGGTACTAATTTCTTTTTCATTGTTGTTTCTAGTCATTCATGTCAAAGCACTTTAAACTTTCCTTCACTCCTACACCATCTGACAACTAAGAAAATCTAAAAAATGAAATTACACCTCCCTATATTTTACACTAAGTTCAGTGATACGAATTCCTACCTAGCTATTCTCTTATGAGTAAAACAAATTTAATCCAAAATTAAAAACACTGTTTTTATTAATTTTATTGATTCATTTTCGGCTGCCATTCAAAAATATTTTTTTTTTGTTTGCATAAATAATTAAATGGAAACTGGGTTTTTATTTCCAACATTAAATGCTTAATTACACTGATTTCTAACTTTATAGCTGGAGTATTTATTACATTGATTTTGTATAAAGCTGATTTCTCACTTTATAGCATGAAGTATTTATTATATTTATTCTGCAAAATAAAATAATATTCAGCATCAGACTATAATAAATATACCACCAGGAACTTATAAATTATAATGTAAACAAGAACTTAAGAATATTAAACAATCTTATTTACTTATTTATTATTAAACTTTTTTAAACAAATGCATCACATTTTCCTCATGTGACTTTATCATGTATGTCACATTAGCCTGGACATACAAGCTACTGTTTTATTATAAACTTACACCATATTTTGTCTCACTCCTTTAACACTAAACTTTGGTAACATGAGAGATACAATTATATGCCCTATCTCAGTTTTGGAAGTAATTTTTAACCTGAAAACTATGCTCTAGCTTTTAATGTCTAAACTTACTTTGGAGAAACATAGAGTTGTGGTACAGGGTCAGTGGAACAGTAACAAATCAGTTTTTGGGGTGGTTACATTACATAAACAGTGGAACAGTAACACATTAGTATTTGGGGTGGTTACATTACATAGACAGTGGATCAGTAACAAATCAGTTTTTGGGGTGGTTACATTACATAAACAGTGGAACAGTAACAAATTAGTATTTGGGGTGGAACAGTAACAAATCAGTTTTTGGGGTGGTTATATTACATAAACAGTGGAACAGTAACATTAGTAACAATGTGTTTTTGGTTGATTACATTACTTTGTTGATGGATCAGAAGCAATCTGTTTTTGGGGTTGTTACATCTCAATGTCATTTGTACATATGGCAGCAATCTTTATGGCCCACATTTTAAACAAAGAGTTTAAAGTGTTTTTCAACACGCTACATAGAAAGAGGTACAGGATTAAGTCATTGTAAAGTCAGAGCAGTCCAGGTGAAATCTGAGTCCAACACACTACACATCTCTGATTCACCTGCCTATCACACTTCAGTTCAGATGTGGAATTACTACCACCAGAAAGGTGTCACTTGATAGCTGGTCTTTTTCAACATGGCAGTGAACTATATTTACACTGAAAACTGACACACACACATTGACAATGATAAAGACATTGAAGCTTCCACACATTTATGGGGTTAACCAGATATGAAAGAGGATCTTGTCAAAGATAAAATGTCAAGCAGGCTGTGTTATCTTCCTTCCAACTGAATTTGGCCAGAAGTAGTTTCAAGTTATTAGTGCAATTTTTTCATTTCTTAAATCTTAGCTTGAGTCAGGAGATACATTAAGTTTTTGGTAACAGTTTTTGGTAACACAAGCATTAAGTCCAGATTCTCCTTGTTCTGAAAGTTAAACATCTACAAATAGAAATTTAATGTTCATTAAAAACAAAGTCAATTTGAAATATTGTTTGCTTTATAGGTCTATAGTTTTATTATTATTTTTAACTTTAAGGGAACAGATGAGATAAGTGTATTATACTGGATTAAGTATCCCCCCCCCCATTTAATGGGACAGAAGAGATCTAGGTATTATACTGGATTAGGTATCCACCACATTTAATGGAACAGATGAGATAAGTGTATTATACTGGATTAAGTATCCACCCACATTTAATGGGACAGATGAGATAAGTGTATTATACTGGATAAGGTATCCCTCCATATTTAAGGGGGCAGATCAGTTCTGTGAGGTGTTGTGTGCTGTGACCTAAATACCTGTACACTTTATCTTTAAGCTTTGGTTATTTGTTCAACTCTCTTTACCAATATGGCCAACCACTCTACAGCCAACTATTCTAAAGTGAACCTCTCTTAAGTCAAACAATCTTAATCTGACCATTGAATAATTCTATTGGTTACCTTGTTGGTAATGCTCACAAACTATCTACACAGTTGTTGAATGTATTGCTGTTTGTGTGTTCAGATGTTACACATGTTACATTGAGCAAAAAAAAAGTCAGAGTTGTTGTGTGATTGACATTGTGTGAGGGTAGTTTATGGTGAGAACAAATGTACAGATGTGTACTATTGCCACATTAGTTGTCAGAACAGTTTAGTTGACTGTTGTCTTTGTAAGAGGTACTTAGCTGCCATATCCTAGCATACAACATTTAGTGTTTTTTCTTCAGGCTGACTGCATAGAAACAGTTACAAATACAACCCACAAAGTTTTTTTCTTTAGGCTGACAACTATAAATACAACCTTGAGTGTTTTTTTTCTTCAGGCTGACTGCATTGAAACAGCTATATCCCCACAACCTCAATTGACCTCCACCTCACCATCCATGCTACTACCACCCCAACAACCATCAGGCCAACCTGAAGCACCACAGAAACGGAGTGTTGCTGTGGATGCTTGTAGTGTTGGTCTCCTTACAGAGCCGGACTGTCTCGGCCCATGCGAGCCTGGCACCAGTGTGGGGCTGGAGGGGATTGTATGGAAGGAGACGGATAATGGTAAGTTTTTGGATAACAAACTTTTACTCTGAAAGCAATACTCATTTTTTTTTTAAAGTCTTTTTCTTAAATTTGAAAGGATACTTTCTTTAATGTTTCAATATAGTCAATTCAACTTGAAGATGTCGTAAAAAACCAATCTAAATTAATATTTTTTTTTAGATTATTATTATAATTACATGCATCTAACAATAATCTGCATCTACATGATAATTTCAAAATTTAGACCTCATGGAAAATTAAAACAGAATAGTTTTTGCTTGTACATTTACTTATCATTATGTTAAGGTTAGGAAAGTCAGAATTGTACTTACTCCTGGTGTTAAGGTTAGGAAAGTCAGCAGTTATAAAATTATTTTAGATATTGAGTTTAGGCAAGACAAAGTAAGCAAGATGTAGCATTCAACCATAGAGAATACTAAGAAAGCCTCTATTCTTCTTACGCTGCTATGAAATTTTAATGATCCATGACATATTTTAGTCTAAAGCTTGTGCTAAGTTATGTTATAACAAGAGTGTATGAATTGCTAGTTAGATGAGTGCTTGTTACAAGTCTGGTCTAATTAACAATTCAAGAGATGGGAGATTGTCATAAAAAGTGTGTTGTTCTATTATTAGCTTTCACAAGGCTCAGCTGACACTATACAATTTATGAACCTTCTAGATAACAAAGTTATGTTGTAATTAGTTCTTTAATTAGTTTGTTTATTTACGGTTTTGGATTCCCTGATTACTTTTAAATATGCGTCTTCAAATAACTGATGCCGTTTTAAAAATTCTAAAATGTGAATAAAAAAATGAAGCTGAAACCAGCTTCCATAAATCTTGAAAAAATATGGTTATCACATGAAAGCAATGCCAAAATAAAAAATAAGCAGAATGTTGAAGTGGGGTAGGGAGGGGTGGGGGGAGGGGGGGTGTTGGGAAGAACAGGCAAGGGAAAAAAATTTTTTTTTAAAAGCAGGATGAGCTGAAAGAAATTTGTGTGAATCTAAGAAATGTAATCTTAGCTCTCCCAAAGGAAGCAAAAGGAATAGTAAAAGGATTTGTTATCAAGCATTCGTTTTTTTAAAAGAATGAATATTCAGTATAATGGCACCAATTCATGTCTGGCTGAAGAGAGAGCGCTGCTGGAATGAGAATTTTAAAAATGGCTGCATGTAAGAGAAGAGAAACAACTTGTGAATGTATTTCATACAGCAGAATGTTACACATTGATTCATTATGCTACACCAACAAGCTCATACACTGTTGATAACTTTTATTTTCTCATGCAGAGCCCATCTGAATAAATAATTGGCTAGTTACATTATGTTCTTTTATCTTTCTGTATGCCTTTTATCATCTGCATCTTTTGTCTTGAAAGGATTAATCTGTTTCTTTTCATAGATACTTATAAATACACAAATGCATACATATTATATATGATGTATATATATAATATGATGTAAATGTGTGTGGGTGTTTGTGTTTGTATGTACATATGTGTGTGTATATATATATGTGTATGTATGAAAAGAAAAGTGTATAATATTATACTGTACTGATGTGTATTCATACATACACACATACATACATACAAGTGCTCCTGTAGCTGTAGCCTGAGTGTAATAATGTGATGTTGTTTCAGGCTTGCTGGTGGTAAATGTTACATGGAGAGGTAAAACCTATGTTGGTACTTTAATGGATGCCACCAGATATGCTTGGGCACCTCCAAGGTAATTACCTTTTTTTCTTTTATGTTTAATGCACATCTGGCGTTGTAATGAAATATTTGCACACCATGCTAAATTTTAAAATATTGTAATGATTTTGGGCTTCAGCTTTTGTGTGCTTATCCTGGTATGCTTATTGTGTGTGGATTAGCTTGGTTGTGGTTTAAGTAAATCTGATTAGTGACTACACTGTGCATTAGTCCTTGTTTGTCAAACCTAGGACTTTTCTCTCAAACCTATGACTGTTCCCTCAAACCTATGACTGTTCCCTCAAACCTATGACTGTTCCCTCAAACCTATGACTGTTCTTAAACCTATGACTGTTCCCTCAAACCACTGACTGTTCCCTCAAACCTATGACTCTTCTCTCAAACCTATGACTATTCCCTAAAACCTAGGGCTGTTCCCTAAAACCTAGGACTGTTCCCTAAAACCTACGACTGTTCCCTCAAACCTACGACTGTTCCCTCAAACCTACGACTTCCCTGAACCTTGACTGTTCTCTCACCTTACACTGACTCTCCATTACATTTGAAAATGTTACACTTAATTAGATGCATGTTAAGTTGGCAAATGCAACTTGAACTTGATGGCAAGAATGTCGTCATGTTGACATAAATTTTAAAAGTCATTAATTCGTACTCAGTAGAACATGCTAGTTAGATCTGGCAGTAAAACTTACAGGCTATCTATTTAGTTAAACAGTAGCAGTCCTTGTTTTAATGTAAACAAATTATGTATGAATTCTGTATTACGACACATCTCTTCTGCCATAGCCTATCTACATTTCAATATTCCATTAGCACTTGTATCAGAAATCCTGCATATTTTTCCCACTCCACTCTGATATTATTTGGTATGATAAACCTGCCAGTTTCTGCCTTGTATTATTCAAAGCTTATTTACAAGCAGCACTTGATGGCCACATGGCCTCTAGAGTTTTCTGCATTGGCCAGAATTAAGGGCTGGGTAACACATTTATCTCCTCTTGGCAGCAGCTGTGTGATTGGAAGCAAAATACAATTTGGTCAGGCCAATTGATTGCTGGCACATCACCAGAAATAGCAGGCATGGAAGGGCTAGTGGCATCAGCATAGTGGGTAGAACTTTGGCAATATGGTAGATATAGGCATAGAAGTGTTTATGGCTAGTGGCATCATCATAGTGGGTAGAACATTGGAAATATGGTAGATATAGGCATAGAAGTGTTTATGGCTAGTGGCATCAGCATAGTGGGTAGAACATTGGAAATATGGTAGATATAGGCATAGAAGTGTTTATGGCTAGTGGCATCATCATAGTGGGTAGAACATTGGAAATATGGTAGATATAGGCATAGAAGTGTTTATGGCTAGTGGCATCATCATAGTGGGTAGAACATTGGAAATATGGTAGATATAGGCATAGAAGTGTTTATGGCTAGTGGCATCAGCATAGTGGGTAGAACATTGGAAATATGGTAGATATAGGCATAGAAGTGTTTATGGCTAGTGGCATCAGCATAGTGGGTAGAACATTGGAAATATGGTAGATATAGGCATAGAAGTGTTTATGGCTAGTGGCATCAGCATAGTGGGTAGAACATTGGAAATATGGTAGATATAGGCATAGAAGTGTTTATGGCTAGTGGCATCAGCATAGTGGGTAGAACATTGGAAATATGGTAGATATAGGCATAGAAGTGTTTATGGCTAGTGGCATCAGCATAGTGGGTAGAACAGTGGAAATATGGTAGTTATAGGCATAGAAGTGTTTATGGCAGCCAGCTTAGTTGGTGGAAAGTTGGCAATATGGTAGATACAGCAGCTAGCAATGGCGCAGTGTTAATACATACATGTTGAAATAAAGGATAGCATAAACAATTTAGTCTGATATTGATTTGCTTTATCAGTTGTAGGCATTAGTGTGTGAAATAGTTGTAGCATAAAATATTTGTTTAATGTACTTGAAACAGGCTATTAGTTTGGTCTCATGCAGATAGTTCAAAAGTAAGAAAATTACAGTATAAAGTTATTAGCTGATATTTAGGCATTCATATCAAGTAAAAGAATATTAAAATGTAACGTAGTCAATAGAACTGTTTCTTGTTTTCCAGACCAAGTGGATGTGAATCCCCAGTAAGTGATTTTGAATCAAGGGCCCCTAAAGGCAGAGGTAAGCGCAACTGTAGAAATACTGCACAGCTGAGTGAGAGGCTACCAGAGGGCAGGAGGCTGCGTAAAGGGCGTAGAGGGACAGTGAACAGTGCTAGCAGCAACTTCACAGCCCCACCCAGCCCTGCCAAGTCTGACATCAGCAGCCTCAACTTGAAGAGGAAGGCTCGGGTTAATGAAGTGGACTGTGAGAAACCCAAACGAAGTCGCTCCTGTTCTAGAGGGGTGACTGAAAGCCCCACGCCAGATGGGTACATCATTTGTCCTGAGCCTAACTGTCATAAAAAATATAAACACATGAATGGGCTACGGTACCATCGAACTCATGCTCATGGTAAACATTCTTTGAATGATGATGCTAAAGATGAAGAGGAAGAGGAGGAGGAAGAGGAGAAATGTGAGAAAAAAGAAATGACAACGAGGTCTGAGAGGTCAGAGAGAATGAGAGCCAAAGAAAGGCAGAGACTGAAGGATGAGCAGAGAAGCTCTGACCGCGACTCTAAGGACTCCCTGGATGATGACATTCCACTGAAAGAAATAGCCAACAAAGCCAACAAACCTGAGGTCAGCAGCTGCTCTAGGGCTGAGGAGAACCCAGAGCCAGGTGGGGCTGTTGCTGTCAAGATTGAGCCGCAGGTCGTCCTGACCCACTGCCCCTCCCCCACCTTAAACACATCAGCCAGGAAGCCTGATGTACCCCCTACAGTGCCTTGTATCCCCCAGTCAGCTGGAGTTGTAAACACTAGCAGTCCGGCTCTGACAGCTGTAAACACCAGCAGCCCAGCTCTGACAGCTGTAAACACCAGTAGTCCAGCTCTAATGGTTGGAGCTGTAAACACCAGTAGTCCAGCTTTAACAGCTGGAGCTGTAAGCAGTAGTCCAGCTCTGTCTGGAGCTGTAAACACAAACAGTTTATCCCAGACAGCTGGAGCTGTAAACATCAGTCCAGCTCTAACAGCTGTAAATACCAGCAACCCATCTGTAATGGCAGGAGCTGTAAACACCAGCAGTCTAACAGTCCCCCTGGTGACCACCCTCAAGTCCCCCATCACCTCACAGGTGTACCAGCTCTCCTCCATGAGCGTGTCCCTGGTGTCCCACACCAGCACCACCCTGGGGCTGGTCTCAGCGCAGACCCTCCCCCTCATGAGCTCAGCAGCAGTAGGCTTGCCAACATCCACACTGACCAACACGGTGACCACCTCAGCTGTTGGCATGTCCATCTCAGTAGACAGGCAGTCTGCGGGGAAGGGGACTGCCTTCTGTAAAACTGCCACAGCTCGTCCAATAGTTCCAGCCCCTTCCCCTCAGGTCTCAGGACACGCCCACCCTACAAACTTGTCCTCATCTATGCAAGCCCATAACCCAGCACTCAAACCCATACAACCTAAACCTACAATTATGGGGGACTACTCAACACTGAGTCCTGCATTAGCAGATCTCAACAGAGAGAAGTCGCGGAAAATGAAGAAAAAGAAGGAGAGGAACAGTCCAGCTACTACCCCTGTGAGTTGTGTGGGCCATAAGCCCCAATGGAAAGACAGTTTACCTGCAGAGTCTATACCTCAGGAGGACAAATCTGATAGGTCAGCTGTGATAAAAAATTCAAATCCGTCCAAACAATTTGAAGCTTCCAGTCCTGGCCTTGAGGGGTCAAAGTCTGTGTGCTCACCATTCCAGTCCTCACAAGACTCTCCCAAACTACACAAAGTCAACCCAGACTCTCCACTCACTGGTGGCTCCCGGCTGGCTGTTCCTCCATCCTCCCTCCCTCTGTCCACAAGTTTGGACAAGTCAACCATCAATGAAGATGTCCATAGCCCAGCTTATTCTGATATATCAGATGCTAATGATAGCAACTCTCCCCCTTCACAAGACAGTCCAAAGAAAGATTCAAAGAAAGAGGGCCAGATGAATGGCCCTTCACACATGGGCTCAAGTACTCAGCACTTTGGCAACATGTACTACTACGGAGGGCCAACCAATTATCTCCCTCACAACCTGAGCCCCCAGATGTCCTCCCCTACCATGCCCAAAGGCGGCATGAAGAAAGAAAATGGTGATGAGAAAAGATCCAATGAGCCCAGTGACAAGAAAGATGCTGGCAGGTCAGCTCAAGAGGAGGAGCAGAAGTCTTTCTTGAACTTTTACGCCCACTATGGTGTATCACCAGCAACCATGCAGTACCTGGCTTCCTACAGCCCCGGCTCATTGGAACCCTACCACGCCCAGATGCTTGCCCAGCAGCAGATGGAGCAGCAGAAGCGACACATGCAGCAGCAACAACAGCAGCAGGAGAACCCCAATAGCATGGAGGACAACTCAGGGAAGCAAACACCTTCAGGGGCAGCACAGATGAACAGGTCCATGGGCTTTAGTGGAGAAGACCGGCGCCATGACGATAGGGAGCAGGCGCTACGGGACAAACAAACTGAGAACCACCAGATCCTGAAGGAGAACATTGAGCTCAAGTCTCAGATGGCGCACCACCACGACCAGCAGCACCAGTACCAGGACTACCAGATGCTCAAGCAGCAAAACGACCTGCGCACACAGATGTTTCAAAAACAGAAAATGTTTGAGAACCAGCGTCAAGAAAAGCGTAAAGGACCCCCAGAACTGACCAACTCAAGTCGTGGTTCCCCTGGTCAGTCTGCATCGTCCAGACAGGATCCCAAGCCCATGGACCTCATCCCACACGACATGATAAAAAAGGAGGTTGTCACGTCTAAAGATGTGTCTCGGCCAGATTCACGTGTGGGGATTCTGGATTCCAGAAGGTTTGACATCAAGGAGGAGAACCCTGGCTCTAGACCACCATCTTCATCTTTAGACAAGTCTGGCCCTAGTCAGCCCAACCCAGCTAACATTCCTTTAGTCAGCTCATCTCTCCAGCTAGCCTCCCCCTTACCAGTTCCCATGGTGGCCACCATCCCAGCGCCCCCTGGTGCAGGCTTCCCCTATGCCCCCTACTACCACCCCATGTACAGAGCAGCAACACTCAATTCTCACATTATTGGATACGCTGCAGCCCCAGCCTACCTGGGCTATAGAGTTCCCTTGGACCCGGATAAAATCACTGACGGGAAGTTAGTTGTTTCCCCTGATGTGGACAAGAACCTGGAGCCAGCTGGATTTCCTACTGCTAATGTGCATAAAATACACGAGCTTCAGGAGAAAGGTCGCAGTGGTTCAGGAGTACTTTCCCCTGCGCCCAGCAAGCCTGGGGCAGAGTCTTCAGCCACCGCCCCCTCCCCTGGGCATACAGGCGAGAAGGTGAAGGACAAACAGAGGGAGTACTCCAGTTCCCCACCCACCCAGAGACATGTCCACACTCACCATCACACACACCTGGTGGGCAGCTTCCCACCTCTTTACCCACCTGATGCCTACAGTGGTGAGTAAACCTTTAAACACATCTTGTACAACATTGGTTTATTTGACAGCCCTAAACATTGTTTTATGTGACAGCCCTAAACATTGGTTATGTGACAGCCCTAAACATTGGTTTATTTGACAGCCCTAAACATTGTTTATGTGACAGCCCTAAACATTGGTTTATGTGACAGCCCTAAACATTGTTTATGTGACAGCCCTAAACATTGTTTATGTGACAGCCCTAAACATTGTTTATGTGACAGCCCTAAACATTGTTTTATGTGACAGCCCTAAACATTGTTTATGTGACAGCCCTAAACATTGTTTATGTGACAGCCCTAAACATTGTTTATGTGATAGCCCTAACATTGTTTTATGTGACAGCCCTAAACATTGGCTTATGTGACAGCCCTAAACATTGTTTATGTGACAGCCCTAAACATTGTTTATGTGATAGCCCTAAACATTGTTTATGTGACAGCCCTAAACATTGTTTATGTGACAACCCTAAACATTGTTTTATGTGACAGCCCTAAACATTGTTTATGTGACAGCCCTAAACATTGGTTTATGTGACAGCCCTAAACATTGTTTATGTGACAGCCCTAAACATTGTTTATGTGATAGCCCTAAACATTGTTTATGTGACAGCCCTAAACATTGGCTTATGTGACAGCCCTAAACATTGTTTATGTGACAGCCCTAAACATTGTTTATGTGACAGCCCTAAACATTGGTTTATGTGACAGGCCCAATTATATGTTGGTAAACAGACCTAATTAAAGTTAATTTTCGTCTTTTATTTAAACTGACCCATTTTTAAAATTTTTTTTTTCTTATGCTAAGTTTTGAGTTTTGTTTTTCATTTACTTTCCCAAAAAGTGAGCAAAAAACTTGAGTCCATAAAGTCGTTACAAGTTAACTGGTGGTGGCAGGCGTGAGTTTGAGCAACATTTACTTGTTGCGAGTGTTGCGTGTGAGCTCTAATCCCCCCTCCCTCCGTCTTACTTGATCCTCTTCCACTTAGGCTGGTGGTATTGATTGACTCCTGGGCAGGAGGTATCCTCTCCTCTCCTCACCCCCCCCCCCCCCCTGGCGTGCCAATCTAAGCCGTGGCCAGTGATTAGCCCAAAGTGTGGAGGGTTTCTCCGTCCTAGCTGCCACTGCTACGTGTGGCACCATAGAATTCTTTCCCTCTTTGTCTAACTGCTCACTTTCACACACCCCTTCCCGTCTTACCCTTAACCAGTCCCCCCCCTTCTCAACTGCTCAATCTTAATCCCCTACCTCCCCCCAAAGTGCACGGTCTCTTCCCCAGCCCCTACCCTATGTGCCTGGCCACCCAGCCCCCAACCCTATGTGTTTGGCCACCCATCCCCAGCCCCTCACCCTATGTATTTGGCCACCCATCCCCATCCTCCCCAACCCTATGTGTTTGGCCACCTATCCCCAGCCTTCCCCCCACCCTATGTATTTGGCCACCCATCCCCAGCCTTCCCCCACCCACCCTAACTGCTCGTTATCACCCCTCCCATGTTGTTGCTGCCAGTAGTTTACTTAGGCTGTGAATTAGATGCAGCAATAATTCTTTATTACATCAAGCCGTCAACTCCTCCCTCTAGCTGTATAACGCCCCCCCCCCCCCCCCACTTTCACCCAGCCCCTGTGATTTCAGTGTGAAGAAATGTGTAACACGTCAGACAGATTAATCGGATGTGTGTAGGGTGTGGATGTGTGTGTGGGGGGGGGGGTGAGGTTATTTGATGAAGATATTGATCCCTCTATGGCAAGTTTTTTTATTCTCCTTTAGCAATATTTTCCCCTCCAGGCTGGCGTGTCTGATGATAGGAGTTTTGATAGGTCTGGTCAAATCAGACGGACATGGGGGTGGTGTCCAGTATGGCTGGTTCATTGAGTATCATCTCGTTAGTTCAGACACCATTGTGTCACGGGTCAGACTAGTCATATTTTTAATTATGTCAAGTTTCATTGTTTTTTAGTTCGTTGGTCTGTTTACAAAAATGCCGGGGAAAAAAACCAGCTTAAAATGATAGGGATAGTGTTTTAACAAAAGTGATTGTAGAAAAAAAAAAGTCACACGAAAAAAGGTTACAGAAAATAAGTTATAGAGAAAACAAGTTATTAAAAAAAGTCACAGGAAATAAGTCACAAATGTATATTTACATGGAATTTAACACATTTATGTAATATTTAATCAGAAAGTGCTAATGCCATTAAAGTTTTAAAAACATGTATAAACATCTACAATTTTTACAATTCTCAACAGGAAATTAAAATATTTCCTATAACATTTTTTTGACTTTTCCCCATAAAAGTTTTTTTTATTGTGACTTTTTTTTCTGTTAGTTTTATTTCCCTAGCAAAAACTGATTTTATTTCTGTAACTTTTCCCCCTGTAATTTTTTTTCCCCGCGTACCAACATAACCACGGTACAGAGCTCGCGTTTTAACGTAAACAGTTATACCCGATAAACCAACCAAGTCATGCATAATGTCAACTGACGAGCTGTTAATTTTTGGCGGGAATGTGGACTTGTAGGTCTTGGCCTGCCGTTTACCTGCTGTATGGAGTGTGACCATGACCACCTTCTACTTTCAGATACCTGCTAAGTTAGTCATACCACGGAAAGACAAAAATGATGGTTAAACGTAGGACGGGCCATGATTGTTAAACGAGGGACGGGCCATGATTGTTAAACGTAGGACGGGCCATGATTGTTGAACGAGGGACGGGCCATGATTGTTAAACGTTGAACGTGGGACGGGCCATGATTGTTGAACGTGGGACGGGCCATGATTGTTAAACGTAGTACGGGCCATGATTGTTAAACGTGGGACGGGATTGATTGTTAAACGTGGGACGGGATTGATTGTTACACATGAGATGGGCCATGATTGTGGACCCACCTACTGTCACGTTTTGTTATGATCCATGAATCATATTGTCAATTATTGTCGTTTCTCGCCCCCTGCGCCAACTGCCTGCGGCGCTAATAGCGGGAGAACACACCTCATGCCTGTCCTACTTGCCAGACGGCACACCACACATTTCGCTCTCCGATAGCCAGAGAAGCTATAAGCCATCTGGTTGGTGGTGATTTTATCTCGTATGCTCGGCTGGTACAGATGAAATACCAACACTACATAGTAGCCTAGTGTACAGTTGGTATATTTTGTCGTAGACTTATACCACTCAAGGCCCTAAAGTAGCCTACTCACGTCTATATTGGCCTACAGAACACACAGACCCTTTATTTTTTCTATATTTAGCTTACGGTTCAGTACTGTAGTACACAGAGGCCAGACTTACGCTCTATCACTACGTATTAGCTGTTGTATTGCTTCTTTCCTCGTGTCTCTATTTCCTATTTTTATCTTTTTCTTTCCATCTTTTCAACGCGAAGTGGGTAATTTGGGGGAAAATAAGGGGGATGGGGGGGGGGGGGGGGGAGAGCTCGCGTTGCCCGCTGATGTTGATCCGCGTCAAGTAAACAATGGTGTATGGCTAAACGTGTCATATTCCTCGTGTCATGACATCCAGACATGTTTTCTATTTAATGATACCCCCCCCCAACATACATTAGGTTGTGTCTCGGTATGCTCGATTAAAAAAAGACAAACCGAAAAAGACACCATTAGGAATAATGCTAATCTGAAAGTTGCAAACCCGATTAACTTTAATTCAGGGATTAATGCAGCTGGGTGCGTTCAGCTTACCGAGGTTGATTTGTAAAGGCTTAAACTTTATATACAATATATTCTCTTCTCCTCCCCCTCCCCACCTCTTCTTGGTTCCCAGTCAGTCAACAACTGCAGGTCAATAACCAGTGTTTCTTCCAGACTTTTTTCTCCGGGGGGGCACTTGAAATCTTCGGGGGGGCGGTAAACTTTCTTCGGGGGGGCGGACACTGTTAAAAGTATATTTTTTCTATATAAATTATATAAATTTCCTTTGGTTCGGGGGGGCGGTAAAAATTTTTCGGGGGGGCTTCGCCCCCCCGAAGAGATGCCTGGAAGAAACTCTGTCAATAACGTCTTGGTGAAACGATCAAATCATTTCTTAGCGTATGGCTAAAGGCTTTGGTAACTTGCCTTCGCTCGCTCGCTAGACTTGAATCAACAGTGGCTACCATCTTAAGCCGAGAGCCACGAGGGACGCTTTTATGTGTGTGTTTAGTGTTGGGGAGTGTGTGTGTGTGTTTAGTGTTGGGGAGTGTGTGTGTTTGGGGGTGGGGAGTGTGTGTGTGTGTTTGGGGAGTGTATGTGTGTGTGTTTGGGAGTGGGGAGTGTGTGTTTGGGGGTGGGGAGTGTGTGTTTGGGGGTGGGGAGTGTGTGTGTTTAGGGCTGGTTAGTGTGTCTTTGGGGGTGGGGAGTGTGTGTTTGGGGGTGGGGAGTGTGTGCTTAGGATTGGGGGATGGTCCCAAATACTGTGAGATATTAACACCGGCAAATAACATGTTTACGTTCCAGTTTAAGATCTAACTTTGTGCTTCAATTAATAACTGAGCCAGGGGCACCAGAGCCGAGTCATGCGATATATTGAGTGGAGGGGTGGGGGAAGAAAGGAGAGGCTCCAGCGTAATGGCGTGAGAGGCGGGTGTTGAAATCGACACCCAAAAAAAAAAAATTTTCATTTCTGGACGGGTCTATCTATGAGCGTGGTATGACGTGTCTGAGAGGTGACATCGTCACACACTTGGTGTGTTTTAAATTAACACACACGCTGTTTTATATAGATAGGTCGGCGCTTACGTCCTAGTGGGCTGACATTGATTATTTTACCACTTACTTTACACATTTTCGTTTGGTCTAAAATCTAAAAGAAAAGTTTTTTTTATTCATTTGATCTCTATCGTCAACTTATACTTAACAGTAAGAGATAATGTGCCTCTCGTAAACAACAGGACAACAGCTTACTCCGTGCGATCTACAGGTCTAAACCCCACCCTACCCATGGTGTATGTGGCCAGGCTAACCTTACACAAATATTTCTGACATTTATTTTTGATGGGCTGTTGTGGACGAAACCTCTAAGTTATAAACGTCTCTTCCAAACGTGTTGCATGAGCAAGCACGACAAAGCTTATCAGTAGCTGATCACTGCATGTGTACTGTAGTCTACTTTTAACCCGTTTATCGATAGCCTGCTGAGTTACAGCCGGTCTCTTGATTCGTACAACACGTCCTTAACGTTCCCGAGCAGAACCCAGTCGTATGTCTCCCATGTTATGTCTCCCGTATGTCTCCCATGTTATTGTGTCTCCCGTATATCTCCCGACAACTCTCGCCAGACATACAGGAATTTAATGTCATAAACTGTTGTTCATTGTCTAGTCTTGCATTAAGCTCTCAACTCGCATTAAACTCCCACGTAACATTAAACTCTCGTCTGGTATTGTTTCAGCTGAAAATTAATCTCCTGTCATAAACTTTGCCCTCACGGTTCATTAAGCCCCTGTAATGGATTAAACTCCTCCCCGCCCCCCCCATTAAGCTCCTGTAATGGGTTAAACTCCTCCCCGCCCCCCATTACCGTAGACTTATTCTGAATATTAGGCTATTGTCTTGCATGTATCCTCTCTCATTGATTAATTAAGCTCCCACAGCATATTAATTTCTTGCTGTTCATTAAGCTGCTGTCATAAGTTAATCAGCTTCTGTCATACATAAGGCTACCAAAGCTCTAGCAACACTTTAAGCTATGAACTAAGTTCCCATTATATATTTCATGGAGTACAAAGATCCTGTAGGTCATTAAACTCACTCATTACACTAAGCTATGGGGACTTGTCCACATTTTAAATCTATTTTATGTGTTAGTGTTTGTTGAAATTTGCCAAGTGCTCAATTTTTTTGTTTGATGGGCCAGTTTGTCAAGAGCAATATTTCTTTAGCCTTAAAAAAGTTCTTCCAGTTTGTCAAGAGCAATATTTCTTTAGCCTTAAAAAAATTCTTCCAGTTTGTCAAGAGCAATATTTCTTTAGCCTTAAAAAAATTCTTCCAGTTTGTCAAGAGCAATTTTTCTTTAGCCTTAAAAAAATTCTTCCAGTTTGTCAAGAGCAATATTTCTTTAGCCTTAAAAAAAAATTCTTTGTCTGCCAGTTTGTCAAGAGCCTTAAAAAATTCTTTATATGCCAGGGCCAGTTTGCCTGGATTGTTTTTATTTGGTAGTTTTGTCCCTGGTCCTTTTGATGCTGTGTGTTGACATGTAGCTTACTTGTTACACTAAGTTACAATAGTTTTCATACCATTTGCATACATTTGAATAAAAGTATACTTCAGTTCATTAGACTTGTAATAGCTACATACTGGTGATACTTTGTTATACAAGTGTGTGATACTTTGTTATGCAAGTGTGTGATACTTATGTCACTGAATAAAAAATTCTATTTGTTTCAGCCATGTTTCATCCTGCTGCACCATCACTACCATTTCCTGCCCCACCCCCTGCACCAAAGTAAATGTCATCTCCTGCTGGACAAGAGAATAAGCACAAAGTTGGACCACTTGACCTGTAGGCACAGGTGGACACTGACCCATAGACATAAAGCTGGGCACACTATACACCTGCGTAAACATTACATACATGGAATAATGAAAACTTGAATTTATACTTCTGATTTAATAAGCAGTTGGACTTAACGAGCTTGTATAAAATGTTGTCCTGAACTGTATGACCTCTTGAATGTGTTGAGTCAGCAATTAGTTTTACCATGTGATTTCTGTGGTTGTCCTCCAACCATTTCATATTGAAACTGGATTGAGCATAAGACTGAGTTTTTTTCTTATACTTTAGTTAGAAACTCTTCCTCTTTGTTTTAAGAGCGATCACATATGGAAGTCTGTTCCAAGAATCTGAGTGCTACATCACCCTGCAGATGTACATTGAAATTATTTCTGTTTGTCTTGGACTAAAAATGTATTTGTCTAAATGTAATTAATGTTAGTTGGATTATAAAGAAACATGCTCAAAACGTTCTAATTCTATTAATAGTTTTCTAATTTTTATAATGATAAGAAAGACAGCATAAAGACAGCTGGACTTACAGATGGTGTATGTCTTTTTCAGCCTGTGCTAATAATTTAGTCATCAGCTGGAGGTTTCCTTGAAGTGTTTTACATTAATTTTTAACTGCGTTGACAGTTCAAATATGCTTCCTTTGATTCTAATATTTAGAGTTGCCATACAATCATTTATGTTTGCTAATTGTGTTATTAATGTGCCACAGCAGGCAAATAAAAGAAAATATACACAATGTAATTTTAATGAGAAAGTAATGATTGTGATGTGAGCGGCAAGCAGCCCTGACATTGACATCAAACTTTCTCCTGACATCAAACTTTCTCCTCATCACAGACTTGCTTTGTTCAATGATTTTGTTCATGAGAGGCAGCATAAAGGCTTTGTACTTAAGTTGATTCTAGAGTAGAGTTGTTGTGTGGTCACACCACCATATGCAATACTGACAGGCATAACGCTTGTGTACACAATTCAGCAATAACAACTAGTTGGGGGCTGTGTTTATAGCTCCATCCCTACAACTTCATCACACAATAACTAAATAATTTTAAATCATTTTTTATGCTACTTCATACATTGGTTGAATTTATTTAGAAGACTAATTATTTAATGCAAAGGACTTCTGATATCCTAGTGTAGTTTTTCTTACTTGATTTTATAGCCAATTTTTGTTTGGGTATATTTTTGTATTTACTTGTATAAATGAACTGTCAGTGATTTCACATTGAAAAACAATGTATACAAACTTTATATTGAAATGTGTTGGTTTATTTTCAAACTATGTTTTTGTAAAGATATTGAATTTCATTTTAAAATTGATGGTGTTTTGTGGTTTTGATAGATAGTATGATAATAGGGGCAGATGGTGATGTATTAGTGGTAATGATCCTAGTGTGTTTCAGTTTAGATGCTGATGTTGTGGTACTAGTTTAAATTGTGGATGGAGTGTTGAATCTGGTGTCTAACCAGAGTTATGATGTTGTAGTATTTTAACTGTGTAGATGTGGTGATACGGATGCTGTGTTGAATCTGGTTTAAGATGTTTCTCCCCCCCCCCCAATGGTGATGTGGATGTGATGTTAAATCTGGTAGATGTCTCTTCTCTCCCCCCCCCCCCCCAAGTGTGATGTTGTATCACTCAGTATTTGCTGTAGATTGTTCAATGATTCCTTCCTCACACGCTTTCATTGATTTTGTTAAAGGGTTCTTGTGGAATCTTTTAGTCTTTCAATCACTGACTTCATCACGTGTAGACTGTACCATGTGTATATATAGTGGACATTAGTTGGATGCTATTTTCTTTCAACGTCATTAAGCAGCATTTTCTTTACTAAATAAATATAAGATTTTCAAATAATGCTTTGTTGTTCATTTGATCAGTGGTTGAAAACTTCATCTCAATACAAAATAAATAAATCTTGATAGGAAGCAGTAAAAACTAAACCATCCATCAACAGACACTTGGAATAACCATGTAGGACATTAGCATACCAAGTCCAACATGGCCGTCACCTCGCCCAACACGGACAGCTACTGGCCAGTTGGGGCAAACTAATGTGTGACGTGCCCAGGGTGATATAGAGGCAGTTGATAAAGGATGGCTCCAATTATATTATAGGAGGGGGGTGGGTGTCTCTCACAGGGTAAATACAGAATGTGAACATCACTTGTGTTTGGGGGGAATCGAGGTTTGGCTCCTTGTATCAGCTTAGCCTTGAACGTTGGGCTGCACATGTTGGCTTAGCCTAGACAGTTGGCCTACACATTGGCTTAGCCTAGATTTGAGCCTAGATTCTGGCAGGTGCCGAACACATTAGCTGGGACTAACAAGCGGCCATTCTAAAAACCTGGCTATCATAATGATAAACCCAGACATTTCCTAATTTCTATAACCTACACGCTAGCCTAGCTGCGGTAAACACGAGTTTCTCCCTGCTCGCTGTCTACACACTAGCCTAGACAAGGTCTACACATTAGCCTAATTAGACATGGTCTACACTCTACACATTAGCCTAGGCGGTGTACACATTAGCCTAGACATGGTCTACACATTAGCCTAGCAATGGTCTACACATTAGCCTAGCAATGGTCTACACATAAGCCTAGACATGGTCTACACATTAGCCTAGACATGTCTACACATTAGCCTAGACATGGTCTATACTCTACACATTAGCCTAGACATGGTCTACACTCTACACATTAGCCTAGACATGGTCTATACTCTACACATTAGCCTTGACATGGTCTACACTCTACACATTAGCCTAGACATGGTCTACACTCTACACATTAGCCTAGACATGGTCTACACACTAGCCTAGACATGTCTACACATTACCCTAGATCGTCATATCCTTACACACCAACTGAGCCTAGATTTTCGCTAGCTAAGACAGATGGCCTGTGGGTGAATCAATTGGACACAGCTGGTCCTATAGCTGACCACTCACAATGCTAGTCCGAATGTTATTACTAACCAACAAAGAGGGAAATTTGTTAATTACTTTTGTTATAGTCTTATTAGATAAGCTCACGTGAAAGGGATCAAATAATTTATCTGATATTTGAACTTGAAATTAGCAAACAAAAACGAAATGCATTACTCTTAGTGGTGGGTGATCTTTTTCAAATTAGTTTTTGGGTTTTTTTTTTTCATTTAAAAAAAAATTAAATTTTAACTCTTCTAGTTCCCAGCATTTGTTGTTTTGTGATGTAAAATATTTGTGCAACTATAAAAACGTCTGCTAGATCTAGACGCCACGGGGAAAGAGACGCGAAAATTCCCGTGATAAGCTATTGAGTTGTAACATCTTTTATTGAAAGAAGAGTTCTTATAAACAGATGTTTTACAGTAGCCTTCTACACGTAAAAAAAAAAAAACCCGCGGTTTCGCATTTCACATAGCTCGTTTGACAAGAACAGCGTCTGCCTGAATGGGGAGATTGCTTTTGTTGGTGTTATCGGACGATGCAGGTGGAGGGTGGCGGGAACGGCGGGGTGAGACGGTTGTGACTTCTTGAAGTTGTTGAAATTTTTTAAACGGTCTGTCGAGCCGCCCCACCCACTCTCTCCCCTAACAAAGTGAAACATCTCCCCCCTCCCTTACTTGTTCGGTGTAGTCTTTATGTGACGGGATGGGACGGGGCGTGGTGGGGGAGAAGGGTGTGTGTGTGTGTGTAGTAAACGATACGAAAACCAAGGAAAGATAACTACAACAGTGGTCACTTTGTGGTCACGTCTCAAGGTCATCCAGTCCCGCACTTAAAGCAATTTATGGCCGACCGGTGCGCTAGTTGTCTGGTGAGACAGTTCAAGGAAAGTTACAGACGATAAATGGACCGAACCCTGCTGTCTGTCTGAACCCGGCGCCTCCACACAAACCCGAACCCCGCAGATCCACGTGAATCTTATAATGGGAAACAAAAGACCGAGTCACGAAATAAACCCGTGGTTGAGATGCAGGCGTGAATTAATTCTAATCTTGTCAGTGAAGTGAACAACCAATTAGCAGACGAGACCAGCTTCAACGCGCGTGCCTCTGTAGCAGGGTGCACGTGCGAGCAGTACTCACAAGGAAATGTTTAATTATTCTATTAGCTCTTCGGGAGGAAAATACATTAACAACCAATTAAAACCAATCAAATGATCAACGCTTTTTTTTCAGTGTACAGGCCAACAAATTCATGTAAAGTGTCTTACACACTCATAGCGTCATAAGATCAGTCATGGCCTTACACAATCATAGCCTTATAGGCCTAGTCATGGCCTTACAGTCTTACACAATCATAGCCTTATAGGCCTAGTCATGGCCTTACACAATCATAGCCTTATAGGCCTAGTCATGGCCTAACACAATCATAGCCTTATAGGCCTAGTCATGGCCTATCACAATCATGGTTTTACACATTCATGGCTTTGTACAATCTGCCTATGCACAAACATAGCCCCACGCGATTGAGGCTTTAGTTAGGCCTACATATTATAACCTTATACAATCATCGCTAAACTTAAAAGCTTGGTTATCGTACTTAAGCGTTTTCAACAATTTTTTAGAGGCTATCGTCAAACGTGGTATTATAATTAATTCTGAGCAGTGGCGTAGCGAGGTCGGGTGTCACCCGGTGCGGCACTTAATGGTGTCACCCCCCCCCACCAGAGGCGTAGCGACCCTTCCCGGGGACAAACTTTCAAATTTTTTATTTGCACCCCCCCCCTCAAACTTTCGATTTGCACCCCCCCCTCAAACTTTCGATTTGCACCCCCCCCTCAAGTTTTTCTCTATATATTGCTATTTTTTGCCTTGGTGTCACCCCCCTAATTGGTGTCACCCGGTGCGGTCCGCACCCCCCGCACCCCCCTCGCTACGCCCCTGATTCTGAGAGAATGTTTGCTTCTTGTCTAGTCTAGCTCAAGGCTAGTAAAAAGGAATGAAAGGAAACAGGCACTTCAGCGCCACCTAGCGTCGGAGTGTTTTTCTACAGCACGTTAGACACGCACACAAAAACCAGATGTGTTCCCTCCCCTCATCTGGTTCATCTGGAACAAAACAAAAATCTCAAAAAAAAAAAAAAAAAAAGGAATAAGCCTAAATGCTTAAAATAGTGAGCTTTAAAATGTTACTCCCTTAATAAATAAATCACAACTAGAAGCTTACATTTAGTTGTATTCAAATTGTTTTATTGATGTTTTTGGCAAAAAAAGTTTTCATACCACAAGTTAAGATTTTAAGATTAAGGTTATCGTTAAGACGCTTACGACTGCAGATGGGGTACTGGATTTAAAAACCTAATCCAGTAGGCAGTTCAATATTTTAAATATCAACACAAAAAGGGTTCATAGTCACATTTTATTTGAAATGAATATTTAAAAAACCCAAAAGATAAACCACGAATAACTGGTTTTATTTGTACACAATTTACGAGATGTTAAAAATCTTTACTATAACCTTTAAAGAAATCCAACAATATAAAGGTCTATCTTTTTTAAAAAGTATATTTTTTTAAAAAGGAGGTAACCCGTTTATAAATATCTTCAGGATGTTTAACACAGTACTTGCCCCTGTTTGTACAAAAGACTCATAATTAACAGCTTTCAGACTAGTAGCATACAGATTTACTCGCACATTAATCTTAATCTCCAGGCGCAAAATTCCATTATCTTACGAGGCTAAAGGCGCCATATGTAGATCTATATGTAACAAGGATACATATACAATATTTAAAGTTAGGAGTAAAAAATAAAGAGAATTAAAAGTTATAGAACACAGTGCTCCATACAGTGCTAAATGTTATAGAGCACAGTACAAAAGTACTAAACGTTATAGAAAAGAGTACTTTAATATAGTACTAAATGTTATTGAAAAGAGTACTGTCATAATGTACTAAATGTTATAGAACACAGTGCTCCATAAAGTACTCAATGTTACATAACAGAGTACCATGGTAAAATTAAAGTCTGAAAATACATTCAAGTTAGATAGCTGCTGTCACAATCATGACATAATTGAGTTCACGTTAATTACCAAAATCTTAATTGGTTGGTCACAGGCGACACGGCAATTTTTGCCATTTAATTTTTACAAAACTAGACATCTATAAGTTTAAGTACGTCTTTAAGTTACATCCACCGTCAAGGTAAGACCTAGATTTATTTTATTGCAAGTAGGTAGTTGGTATCAAGTAGAAAATGCACAACTATCATTATAAAGTTTGCTTGCATTGAAGATTTATTTAAAACTCGAATGATTTCAGCATGTTACAGTGAACATATGTTGTACAATATTCCAGTCACAGCTAGAAGTATCATTTACTGCAGAAATTAGCTATATGTCAGCTCGAAATGACATCTCCGCTAGATGTCATTCACTAAAGCACTTAGCTTAGAATTGTCTTTAATTGTCAAAAGTAAATCACAAATTTTCGATTTCAACAAAAACAAAATCTATTTTCCCTGTTTTTGTTTTAGAGACACAAAATGGAAGAGAAGAACCTGACCTTGACACTTTACGGGGTCAAGGACCTGCGCCTGGTAACAATATTTTGTTTAAAGTTAAACATTTCCTCCTATACTTCTCGCTGGAAGTTTATTTTGAACAATTTTGTTTCTAGAATTAGATGAATGCCAAGTGCAATTTCATTTTAAAAATAGATAAAAGAGAAACAACTCCTACAATAATAACATTTATAAATTATTTCATGGTTGTCTCCCCGGACACACGATTTACTCTTCCATTTAGTTATACAGATGGTGCAACATTTAAAGAAATTTAAAAAAAAATTTTTTATCGCTTTTACTGACTATAAAAATGTTTCTTATTAAAAACACAATAAATTTATTATTAAATATACTACATCTAAGATTTAAATAAAGAAAAGAAAAACTGCTGTAAACAAAATATGACGTATCTGATCTAAATATAGTATAACGTGAACCCTGAGTTGCCTCACGCCTCTATCTTTACTACAGGGATGAAGGGGGTTTAAAACTCATTGACACTCACCTAACAAAACTGAACTGATTTGTGATTTTAATACGCAGGTGGAGAAACCAGTCCGTGAGCCACAGTATGGAGGTGAGTGAGAGTTTACACGTGATCTGTAACCTGAAGGATTGGGTAATTCTTACATTCCCCTCACCTTATTCGGACATTCCATTCACCTTTTCCGGACATTCCCCTCACATTATCCGGACATTCCCCTCACATTATCCGGACATTCCCCTCACATTATCCGGACATTCCCTCACATTATCCGGACATTCCCCTCACATTATCCGGACATTCCCCTCACATTATCCGGACATTCCCCTCACATTATCCAGTCATTCCCCTCACATTATCCGGACATTCCCCTCACATTATCCGGACATTCCCCTCACATTTTCCGGACATTCCCCTCACATTATCCGGACATTCCCCTCACATTATCCGGACATTCCCCTCACATTTTCCGGATATCCCCCTCACATTATCCGGACATTCCCCTCACATTTTCCGGATATCCCCCTCACATTATCCAGTCATTCCCCTCACATTATCCGGACATTACTCCCTGCCATTCTGACAATCTCTCTAATCATCTGGACAACCCCTCCCCATTGTTCGGACATTCACTTCACCCCCCCCCCCCCCCACATTTCATCTCGTCATTCGGACATTCCCCTACCCCTACCGCACGGACAAACTGGACATCCCCCACCCGGACATTTCCCCCCATCACCATAAGGCAAACAATAGTTCTAAATTTACCCCCCTCCCCCTGACCTTTGACCCCTCGTATCGATACCTAGAATGGGACGGAGTGGTCTAGCGGTAGAGAGCTGGACTGCTAACCCGTAAGCCTCGAGTTCGAATCCGGGTTCAAGTCAGTAAACCGTCCCTGAGTCCACCCAACTCTGATGGGTACCTAACTCACGTTAGGGAAAGTAAAGGCGGCTGGGCATAGTGCTGACCACACTATCTCTTCATATGCCGAGGTCACAGAAACAAGTGAACTCTACTTCACTTGCCCCATAGACCGTCAGGCTTGAAAGGGAAACTTTACTTTTTTACTTTTATCGATACCTAGAGGTCCAGATCAGTGTTCGATCTGTTGGAATCTGCGGCTCTGACGTCACCTACTGGCAGACGGGGAGGATCGGTAGCGTCGTGGTCACTGACCCGCTGGACATGGGTCATGAACCCAGTGGGGTGGTCAGCAAGGTGGGAGCCGGGGTCACTGACCTGAGAGTAGGTAAGTCACGTGGTTGTCCAGGTCACTGACCTTACTGATACATATGAGATAAGTAGCATCAGACTGACATGTGACATGATATGAGTATCATTAGATTGACATCAGACTGACATGAGACCCATGTCATGAGACCCATGTCATGAGACCCATGTCATGAGACCCATGTCATGAGACTGACATGAGACCCATGTCATGAGACCCATGTCATGAGACTGACATGAGACCCATGACATGAGACTGACATGAGACCCATGTCATGAGACCCATGTCATGAGACCCATGTCATGAGACCCATGTCATGAGACCCATGTCATGAGACTGACATGAGACCCATGTCATGAGACCCATGTCATGAGACTGACATGAGACCCATGACATGAGACTGACATGAGACCCATGTCATGAGACCCATGTCATGAGACCCATGTCATGAGACCCATGTCATGAGACCCATGTCATGAGACTGACATGAGACCCATGTCATGAGACCCATGTCATGAGACCCATGTCACGAGACCCACACAGCTCTATCCCTGTAGGTGACAGAGTTGCCATAGAGCCCCTGATTTCCTGCCAGAGTTGCCGTTACTGCCGGCTGGGCAAGTACAACGTATGCAGCAACCTGAAGTACCTGGCCTCACCCCCAACTGACGGATGTCTGACCCGATTCTTCTGTCACCCCGCCCACTCGGTTCACAGGTCGATACAACCAATCACTCAACAATCGTCAAAAATGGAATTAATAATTTTATTGTAATTTCCATTCTTTGAGGGTTGCTAAAGATCATTACCCCCCCCCCCCCATTCCTCCTCATCAAAGCTTGAATAACATTTTTTAGTCTAACCGTAGGTCCTGTTAAAACTTAACATATCTAGATAAATTTATGAATATTCAATTATTCTAAGATTAACCTAATACCCTTGACCCCGTGACGCCCTTTGAAATGGTTCCAGACTTCCAGACAACGTGAGCTTTGACGAGGGCGCCCTGGTGCAGCCTCTGGCACTCGGCTTCCACGCCTGTGAGAGGGGGGAGATCACTGTAGGTCATTACGTCCTGGTGTCTGGCGCAGGTGAGTCCTGATGTCCTAATGTCCTATTGTGTCCCTAATGTGACTTGACTTACTTGACTTGACTTAGTCCTCTTTGCTCCTTATTGAACATAGGGCAGGGGTCGGCAACCTTTTGAAGCAGAAGAGCCAAAAGTTACAATTTTCAAAATTTCCCTGGTTTTAAAGAGCCACTAACATTTTTTTTATTTCAAATATTTTATTTTTTAGCGCAATTTCCATTCTGGAGAATTGCGTTTATTAACCCGTCATTTCTGGATGTATGAATGGATGGATGGATGGATGGATGGATGTGTGTCCGCAGCTTTAAGTCGCATCTCCTCCTCAACGAAGCAATATCGATGACTAGTTCCAAAAGCAATTATGTTAAGCAAGTTACGAGGATGAACATAGGCTATAAAAATTCCGGGTTTCTTTCATGGATTTCCCGGAAAAGCCAAAAAACCTCGAAAAAAAGCAGTTTTTTGCCCATATCTCGGCAACCAGACCACTTAGCGACTTGAAACATGTACCAATCGATTCCTGCCATAATTTAGAACAATATTGCCGAAGAAAGTTTTCAAAAATATCCTTTCGTTCGGTCACAAAAAAATTTTTGAATTAATTAAAATTTGGACCGAATTAGTAGGCATTTTTTCCAACCACACCACACGCGTCATCACGTTCAATAGCTGCACCATCACGTTCTATGGCTTCGTCATCACGTTCAGTAGCTAGGCGCGCAATGGTTTTTAGTCATGTAACTCTATTGTAAATAAAACATGTAAAATACTGAAATTTTTTTTTAATAAAAAACGTTTTAATAACTAACCAATGGTTTTACTAACCCTGCTCTTGATTTACGCTACGACAGAGCTATTTTTAAATAACATAAGGAAATTGCGCTAAAATTGTCACTAGACTTTTTAATTAACTTGTTTATTAAGATTATTAGTATTTGTGCAAGGAGCTGGAGAGCCGCATCTTGATATCAAAAGAGCCGCATGCGTCTCGCAAGCCACAGGTTGCCGACCCCTGACATAGGGCCTCCACCATTTCCTTCCATTTCTTCCGATCCCCGGCTATTAATTTTGCCATCTCCCAAGACATCCCTGTTGGCTTCAGTTCTTCGAGAAGACTCCGCCTCCTGGTCTGTCTTGGGCGCCCTCTCTTCCACATTGCCCTAATGTGCTCGTGTCCGTTCATTCCGTCTGTGCAGTGAGTGGTGGTGAAAGATGATTTCCTTTACAATAGACCCTTTACATGGTCCTTTACATTTAGGTACATTTGGTCCTTTACATGCTTTTACATCTGTGTACATTAGGTCCTTTACATCTGTGTACATTAGGTCCTTTACATCTGTGTACATTAGGTCATTTACATCTGTGTACATTTGGTCCTTTACATCTGTGTACATTAGATTCTTTACATCTGTGTACATTAGGTCCTTTACATCTGTGTACATTAGGTCCTTTACATCTGTGTACATTAGGTCCTTTACATCTGTGTACATTAGGTCCTTTACATCTGTGTACATTAGGTCCTTTACATCTGTGTACATTAGGTCCTTTACATCTGTGTACATTAGGTCCTCTGGGAATGTCCGTTGTGCTGGCTGCTAAAGCTTTTGGAGCTGCCAAGATCTGCGTCACAGGTAGGTCACACTGCTGTCAGGTATAGGTCATACTGTTGTCAGGTGTAGGTCACACTGCTGTCAGGTCTAGGTCATACTTTGGTCAGGGGTAAGTCATACCGTTGTCTCAGGTAGGTCACACTGTTGTCAGGTGTAGGTCACACTGTTGTCAGGTGTAGGTCACACTGTTGTCAGGGGTAGGTCACACCGTTGTCTCCTGTAGGTCAAGATGTTGTTTTTGTTTTTCACCTGACTTGTTCCTACGTCATTGATCGCAAAAGAAAGTAATCACAGACTTCTAAATAGACACACACACAAAATACTCAAAGAATTCTCGACCTACTTGTATCTAGACATCGACCAGAGTCGTCTGGATTTTATAAAGAACATCGGAGCAGGCGTTACAGTGACTGTCGGCGCCGAAACACCGGAAGTGACGTCACAGAATGTCAAACAAAGTTTGGGGCGCGATGCAGACGTCGCCATTGAGTGTAGCGGAGACCAGAGGGGCGTGGCTAATGTTATATATGTAAGTCATTTGGCTAATGTTATAATGGGTGGCTAATGTTATATATGTAAGTCAAATGGCTTATGTTATATATGTAAGTCATGTGGCTAATGTTATATATGTAAGTCATATGGCTAATGTTATATATGTAAGTCATGTGGCTAATGTTATATATGTAAGTCAAGTGGCTAATGTTATATATGTAAGTCATGTGGCTAATGTTATATATGTAAGTCATGTGGCTAATGTTATATATGTAAGTCATGTGGCTAATGTTATATACATATATAACATATATATATATATATATATATATATATATATATATATATATATATATATATATATATATATATATATATATATATATATATAACATTACCCCCCACCACATGTGGCTAATGTTAAATGCAAGTCGAGGGGTTAATGTAATATATGTAAGTTTTGTGGTTAATGTCATACCATATGTAAATATCGTGGTTATAACACAATATGCTACTATGATAGTATCAGTATAAACCAGGGGTCGGCAACTAGCGCATCGCGAACCGCATGCGGCTCTTTTGAAGTCAAGATGCGGCTCTCCAGTTCCATGCACAAATATTATTAGTTATTTTATTTTCAAAACTCTTTAAAATATCATTAAAAAAAAAACACTCATCACTGACCAATGGGAGTAGGTGAGGTAGAAAGTATACGGACAGCTGACAGCCGCTTGGGTACCAGGCCCAGCCCCACATTCGTGCTGTAGCCAGCCCTGGGGCAACGATTCCACTTTTTCGAATATCCTTAAATGGGGAATGTTATTTTATTCAGAATGCATTTCTCTATGTGTCAGAAATCGTTGATTTGACGTGAGTGACGTAGTTTTTTTAGTTATTAGCTTCCTACTGTTGAGCCGGGTACTGGACGGTGGGGTACGAGTTTACCCTGGGCTCTGTGGGGTGGAAGATAAACCTGGTGAGAACCAAAGGACAGAAGGACAGAAGCGACCGATACACTGTTATCAAACCGATATCCAAGCCAGTTAGTCGGCGTTTGTCGTGTTGAGGCTTGCCTGGCTAATGTAAGACACCGACTGAGCCGGTGATGTCAGTAAAGAAACAAAAAAAAGTCAACTAGTGGATTGGGATAGTCCTATAGTTTTATTTTTTGATTACTAATTTCATTTTTCTGGCGAAACAAGTGCATTTTTTATATGAATAAATATTTTTTTCATATTTAAAGCTATTTATTTTGATTAACAAATCAAATTTATTTACCTAATCCTATTCAAATAATCAAATATTGAAAAACATTTTTTAGCGGCTCTTTAAAAACTGGGAAATTTTGAAAATTGTAACTGTCGCTCTTCCTTCTCAAAAGGTTGCCGACCCCTGCTATAGACTGTAATCCTCTGGAAGTGCTATTTAAACCCTCACTGATGTTTTTCCTTTTTTTTTTCTTTAAAAAAAAAAAACAAAAAAAAAAAACGAAAAAAAAAAATGGAAATAAAAAAAACCTCACTGATAAAAATTGAAACATCAAATAGAACAAAATGTTCAATTAAAAAAATGAATACTATTAAATTAACAGTTTAGGTGTCTACTACTTATGAAATTAATTGGGTAATGATCTAGCCCTTTTCTTTTTTGATTAAGTAATAAAAGCAGTTTTAATTTTAAAAATTTGAAAATAATGATGTCAATTATGCCTTTATCAAAGGTGTATCTAATTAAGGCAGAATAAATAACAAAGAATATTTGTTTAATAGTGCAATGAATGCTTTCTTACAATTATTAACAATTAAATTATAAGTTGTTTCCCTTGTTTTGATCCTGAAAATAATATGGATGGTAATTAAAACAAGCCGAGTGTATTGTAAAGAAAGGGCTTAATAGACCCTATCTCTTTCATTGAGCTTTCGTGGCTAAAATAAACAAACGTGTAACGCATAATTAACACAGCTATTTAAATTATATTTTTTAAAATATAAAGTTCGACCTTCAAACATGGAGGCGCATAGGGCAGCTGAAGTAGAGTTCACCTATTTCTGTGACTTCGGCGTATGAAGGGATTGTGTCGTCCGCACTATATCCAGCCGCCTTTACTTTCCCCAAAGTGAGTTAGATACCCATCACAGCTACGTCGACTCAGGGACGTTCTACTGCCTTGAACCCCAATTCGAACTCGAGAACTTTCGGGTTAGCAGTCTAGCGCTCTACCACTAGACCACGTCGTCCCATTTAAAAACAAAGACGTTGAAAATGAAGACGGGTAGATTGGCCCCTAAATAGCTACGGTCAAACGGACGTTAGGACTTCAGGTTCGGGGTTCAGCCATCATTACCATGGCAACAAAGGTTACAACGAAAGCTGCTCAACTGTATTATTGATACAGTAGCACCTTCCTCCCCTCCTGTTATATAACTTCGCTCCCCATCTACTCATTGGTTGATTCGAGTGACCTTGACCCACAGAGCACCAAACACACGGGTAAAGTTGTGATCGCAGGGTTTGGTGACGTCACAACGTCCGTTCCGCTGGTGGAGGCGACCTTGAAACAGCTTGACCTTCGCGGGATGATTCGGTTCGCTAACAAGTGAGTACCATTCTTCTTGGCTCTTAATTCTAATGAGTGCCCGACTTTCATCTTTGTCATCCAACCCTAGCCGTAATTCGTGTCCCCAACGTATGTGTTGATATTTATCTTTCACTGTGTGATGCAGGTCCCGAATGTTTTCCTGTGTGACTCCCAAATGTTTGCCTGTATGACTCCCGAATGTTTTCCTGTGTGACTCCCAAATGTTTCCCCGTATGACTCCCGAATGTTTGCCTGTATGACTCCCGAATGTTTTCCTGTGTGACTCCCAAATGTTTCCCCGTATGACTCCCGAATGTTTGCCTGTATGACTCCTGACTGTTTCCCTGTGTGACTCCCGAATGTTTCCCTGTGTGACTCCTGACTGTTTCCCTGTGTGACTCCCGAATGTTTCCCTGTGTGACTCCCGAATGTTTTCCTGTGTGACTCCCGAATGTTTTCCTGTGTGACTCCCAAATGTTTCCCCGTATGACTCCTGACTGTTTCCCTGTGTGACTCCCGAATGTTTTCCTGTGTGACTCCCAAATGTTTCCCCGTATGACTCCTGACTGTTTCCCTGTGTGACTCCCGAATGTTTTCCTGTGTGACTCACGAATGTTTTCCCGTGTGACTCCCGAATGTTTCCCTGTATGACTCCCAAATGTTTCCCTGTGTGACTCCCGAATGTTTTCCTGTGTGACTCCCGAATGTTTTCCCGTGTGACTCCCAAATGTTTTCCTGTGTGACTCACGAATGTTTTCCTGTGTGACTCCCGAATGTTTTCCCGTGTGACTCCCAAATGTTTTCCTGTGTGACTCACGAATGTTTCCCTGTGTGACTCCCGAATGTTTCCCTGTATGACTCCCAAATGTTTCCCTTTGTGACTCCCGAATGTTTCCCTGTGTGACTCCCGAATATTTCCCTGTGTGACTCCTGTTTCCCTGTGTGACTCCCGAATGTTTGCCTGTATGACTCCCGAATGTTTTCCTGTGTGACTCCCAAATGTTTCCCCGTATGACTCCCGAATGTTTGCCTGTATGACTCCCGAATGTTTTCCTGTGTGACTCACAAATGTTTCCCCGTATGACTCCTGACTGTTTCCCTGTGTGACTCCCGAATGTTTCCCTGTGTGACTCCCGAATGTTTTCCTGTGTGACTCCCGAATGTTTTCCTGTGTGACTCCCAAATGTTTCCCCGTATGACTCCTGACTGTTTCCCTGTGTGACTCCCGAATGTTTTCCTGTGTGACTCCCAAATGTTTCCCCGTATGACTCCTGACTGTTTCCCTGTGTGACTCCCGAATGTTTTCCTGTGTGACTCACGAATGTTTTCCCGTGTGACTCCCGAATGTTTCCCTGTATGACTCCCAAAAGTTTCCCTGTGTGACTCCCGAATGTTTTCCCATGTGACTCCCGAATGTTTCCCTGTATGACTACCAAATGTTTCCCTGTGTGACTCCCGAATGTTTTCCTGTGTGACTCCCGAATATTTCCCTGTGTGACTCCTGTTTCCCTGTGTGACTCCCGAATGTTTGCCTGTATGACTCCCGAATGTTTCCCTGTGTGACTCCCGAATGTTTTCCTGTATGACTCCCGAATGTTTTCCTGTATGACTCCCGAATGTTTCCCTGTATGACTCCCGAATGTTTCCCTGTGTGACTCCTGAATGTTTCCCTGTGTGACTCCCGAATGTTTCCCTGTGTGACTCCCGTATGTTTCCCTGTGTGACTCCCGAATGTTTCCCTGTGTGACTCCTGTTTCCCTGTATGACTCCCGAATGTTTCCCTGTGTGACTCCTGTTTCCCTGTGTGACTCCCGAATATTTCCCTGTGTGACTCCTGTTTCCCTGTGTGACTCCTGTTTCCCCAGCTACCCCACTGTGATCGAGGCTATAGCGTCAGGCCGTGTGAACGTCCTACAGCTGGTTACCCACAGGTTCCCCCTGGAGAGGGCGCTGGACGCCTACAACATGGCGCTGAGGAGGGAGGGCGTCAAGATCATCATCGACTGTCACAAGCCAGTCACGTCACTCTAGTGCTTTACCACAGGACAACGGTCAAGATGACACGTCCAGTTTAAAATAAAGCAAATGGACAGTCCTCAAATCAATTCAAATTTCCGGAGTTTTCAAATTTACAAGGTTTAAAGCGTCAAATGTCTGTAATCTTTCATGAGCAGCTTTAATGTCATGATTCGTGTTGAACCTTTCACCTCTATAACTCCAGCCTTTCTCTGTTAAAATTCCAGTAAAAATTAACAAAAATACAAATTGTCTTTGTTTTTATGTTCGGAATTCTATGGCAACCATAAAAACAACTATATTTTTTTTAGCCACCAAACATTGTTTTAATGTTGTTGAATATAGAAATTGTTATGTAAGTGCATTCTGAATGATAAGATATTGGCCTAAGTCGGGGTGTCTTGATGTTGGTATGGGATAATTTTGGTCAGGAGCCGTCCTTTGGGAGTTTGAGGTCATTGATCTCAGTAGGCATCGCCAACTTATGAGGCGTCCCTAACTGCACAGTGCGTGATGTGGGATGTTCCCAAGCACTCATAGATGGTTTGGTGGGCCCTGGGGTTGCATGGTGCTACCCGGCACCCTCACATGGTGTCATGCGCCAATGTGTTGTGGGATGCTGCATGGCGCCCATGCCCACACCCAGTAATTTAATTTTTTTTTTTTTTTTTTTAAATTGTTTTATTATAATTTCTCTAAGTCCTTTGATAACTGTTTGCTGCTGTCACAATAATGTCCTAGACTTTTCAACTTTTACCCAGTAATTTAATAAAATAGTAATTTCCACACTGCTGTACGGATTATATAATAACGCAGAGTTCACGGCTTTACCTAAAAATAAAATGTAAAATACAATGGGGAAAAAAATACACAATTCAAATTTAATTAAAATTGTTTAATTTACATGGGTAATTAGCGAGGAAAATTCAAAAAAGTAATTAAATATATAATCAAAGTATTGTAGTTCTGGTCTGTAAACAAAAACAGATGACAAGTAAACACAACACCCAGTAAGGTTTGAATCACCAGGCGGAGTTGCTGCCCTTGAGCTGGTTGACACTGGCTGGACGAACTAAGGGAGACAACTCAGCGAATTTCTGTTTTGATGAAAAAAAAAGTTTAAAGTTTCAAGCCAAAGGTTATATTTTAAAAAGTTACAAGCCAAATTTTATACTTTAAAAAAGTTTTAAGTGAAGGTTTATATTTTTACCTTATTAAGTAAACTTAACCCTCTAGCCCTAAGCCTCAACTTTTATCCCTGACAACTAAACTTAACCCCTGCCCTGACAGCGATGGCAGAAGGAAAAAGTCTGGCAAGTGAGCTGGCAGAGTTTTATTAATTTAATATTTTGATTGACAGCAGTCACGTGCTGGACAAATGGAGCGGAAGTGGGGGGGGGGGGGGTGATTTTATTCACGTCTTTAGTAGGACTTGACCTAGGCAATAGACCTAAGACTTAACCTAGACAATAGACCTAGGACTTGACCTAGGCAATAGACCTAAGACTTGACCTAGGCAATAGACCTAGGACTTGACCTAGGCAATAGAACTAGGACTTGACCTAGGCAATAGAACTAGGACTTGACCTAGGCAATAGAACTAGGACTTGACCTAGGCAATAGACCTAGGACTTGACCTAGGCAATAGAACTAGGACTTGACCTAGGCAATAGACCTAGGACTTGACCTAGGCAATAGACCTAGGACTTGACCTAGGCAATAGAACTAGGACTTGACCTAGGAAATAGAACTAGGACTTGACCTAGGCAATAGACCTAAGACTTAACCTAGACAATAGACCTAGGACTTGACCTAGGCAATAGACCTAAGACTTGACCTAGGCAATAGACCTAGGACTTGACCTAGGCAATAGAACTAGGACTTGACCTAGGCAATAGACCTAGGACTTGACCTAGGCAATAGAACTAGGACTTGACCTAGGAAATAGAACTAGGACTTGACCTAGGCAATAGAACTAGGACTTGACCTAGGCAATAGAACTAGGACTTGACCTAGGCAATAGAACTAGGACTTGACCTAGGCAATAGAACTAGGACTTGACCTAGGCAATAGAACTAGGACTTGACCTAGGCAATAGAACTAGGACTTGACCTAGGCAATAGAACCCCCGACTTACCATATAGCTCTATAATTACCCCCCCCCCCCCCCCGACTTACCATAAAGCTCTATAATCACCCCCCGACTTACCATAAAGCTCTACAATCCCCCCGACTTACCATAAAGGTCTATAATCCCCCCCCCCGACTTACCATAAAGCTCTATAATTACCCCCCCCCCCCCCCGACTTACGATAAAGCTCTATAATCACACACACACCCCCACCCCACCCCCCGACTTACCATAAAGCTCTATCTTAAACATCGTCCGTCCCAGGTGGTTCATCCCCACACACTCGTACTCCCCGTAGTCCCGGGTCACCACCTGTAGGACGGTGAGGGAGGAGACGGAGGCGAACCTCCCCTCTGTCGACACGTCAAGTTTGTACTTGTGACTGTCAGCCACCCTGTGGACAGGTTGTACAAATTAACTAATTAGTACTAATTACTGGCTCTGTAAACAACTTACTAATATAAGTGTTGAAGTAACTGAATGGAACAACATGATTTTGACTTAAATACTGACTGATAGATCTAATACGAGCATGTTTTATTGAGGAAATGATGTTTTTACTTTCTCGTATATACGAAGTATAGAGAAAGTATTGTAATCGTGCAAAAAAAAAATCGAGATTTTTACAAATCTCGACGTTTTACATCTCACTGATACGGAAAAACATAATTTTGCAATCTTGTCCGTATGTCTGTGTGTCTGTCTGTGTGTGTGTGTGTGTCCGTGTGTAAACACGATAACTTCAGTACCGGTACAGCTAGGTTGATGAAATTTCATATATAAGTATTTTATCAAAATCGTAGATCCGTATCAACTTTTGAGCGATTTCCGATAACCGGAAGTGGTACTTTTCCTACTTTGGAATTTTCAAAAGCCTATAACTTGAGTACTATTTCAGATAGATAAATGAAATTTCACATGTAAGTAAAAGATCTAATTCTCTACCTTCTGTTAAATTTTAAGTCATTTCCGTTTTTTTTTTTTTTTTTTTTTTTTTTACATATGATCCACATGATGTACAACGTCCTATGGGTTTACTACGTGGTATACTTGTACACGAGTCATAGATGGTAAACTGGTGTGTGTGTTATACATGGTATAAAGGTGCCTGGGTGTTCTACAAGACTTACTCTAACTGGTTTCTAAACCACCGGATACTTGGCCTAGGGTCGCCCACAGCTGTGCACCGAAGCGTGACCGGATGACCACGAATCTGACCCACACGTGACTGGGAGTACACCCTGGGGGAAGCTGTGGAGAGGAGGATGAGCTTGTCACGTGATCATGATGTAACGTTGGAGACGTGACACACATTGAATGACGACACTAACGTTGATTACGTTGTTAATTAATGAGTTCCTACCTGGGCCATGCGGCACAAAAGTTGTGGTTATAGCTGATTTTAAATTAATGAGTTCCTACCTGGGCCATGTGGCACAAAAGTTGTGGTTATAGCTGATGTTAAATTAATGAGTTCCTACCTGGGCCATGTGGCACAAAAGTTGTGGTTATAGCTGATGTTAAATGAATGAGTCCCTACCTGGCCCATGTGGCACAAAAGTTGTGGTTATAGCTGATGTTAAATTAATGAGTCCCTACCTGGGCCATGTGGCACAAAAGTTGTGGTTATAGCTGATGTTAAATTAATGAATTCCTACCTGGGCCATGCGGCACAAAAGTTGTGGTTATAGCTGATGTTAAATTAATGAGTTCCTACCTGGGCCATGCGGCACAAAAGTTGTGGTTATAGCTGATGTTAAATGAATGAGTTCCTACCTGGGCCATGTGGCACAAAAGTTGTGGTTATAGCTGATGTTAAATTAATGAGTCCCTACCTGGCCCATGTGGCACAAAAGTTGTGGTTATAGCTGATGTTAAATTAATGAGTTCCTACCTGGGCCATGTGGCACAAAAGTTGTGGTTATAGCTGATGTTAAATTAATGAGTCCCTACCTGGCCCATGTGGCACAAAAGTTGTGGTTATAGCTGATGTTAAATGAATGAGTCCCTACCTGGCCCATGTGGCACAAAAGTTGTGGTTATAGCTGATGTTAAAGTAATGAGTTCCTACCTGGTCCATGTGGCACAAAAGTTGTGGTTATAGCTGATTGTTACGGGCCAGTTGTAGGTTAGTTTAGAATAGGTTAGAATAGTCTAGAACTAGGGGAGAGAGCGTGTGTGAGTGGAGTTCACCCTACTGTGTAGTTACCCTTGTGTGTTTATGTCTTGTAATCCCAAGGTCGAATGCGGGTATAAAAGGGCGAGTGAACGATTGTGGGGGGCAGACAGCGAGTTAGTAGCGGTTAGGACGAGGGCTGTTCTGGTACGCTTGAATGCAGTGAGAGACGAATAAAAGGAGTGAAGTTATACACGAAGTGTTGTTGATGATTTGAAACGAACCCAGAACGTAACAACTGGTGGCCAGTATGAATCAAGTAGAAGCATAAACTTGATGCTGTCCTGTCGTTTGCCTGATGCTGTCCTATCGTTTGCCTGATGCTGTCCTGTCGTTTGCCTGATGCTGTCCTGATGTTTGCCGGTTGCTGTCCTGATGTTTGCCGGTTGCTGTCCTGATGTTTGCCGGTTGCTGTCTTGATGTTTGCCGGTTGCTGTCCTGATGTTTGCCGGTTGCTGTCCTGATGTTTGCCGGTTGCTGTCCTGATGTTTGCCGGTTGCTGTCCTTATGTTTGACGGTTGCTGTCCTGATGTTTGCCGGTTGCTGTCCTGATGTTTGCCGGTTGCTGTCCTGATGTTTGCCGCTTGCTTTCTGATGTTTGCCGGTTGCTGTCCTGATGTTTGCCGGTTGCTGTCCTGATGTTTGCCGGTTGCTGTCCTGATGTTTGCCGGTTGCTGTCCTGATGTTTGCCGGTTGCTGTCCTGATGTTTGCCGGTTGCTGTCCTGATGTTTGCCGGTTGCTGTCCTGACGTTTGTTGGATGCTGTGGGGATGCAGTTAGCCCGACGCTATAGCTGTTTGACAGAGTATGTAACAACATCGACTGTGAGTTGCAAAATTTTGATGTAGAATGGTTGAGATATAGGTAGGAGTCGTAAACCAGTGTAGCCATAGAGCGCAGGTTGACTCAAATTTTTTGTGATGTAGAATGGTTGAGATATAGGTAGGAGTCGTAAACCAGTGTAGCCATAGAGCGCACAGGGTAGACTCAAATTTTTGTGATGTAGAATGGTTGAGATATGAGTAGGAGTCGTAAACCAGTGTAGCCATAGAGCGCAGGTTGACTCAAATTTTTTTGTGATGTAGAATGGTTGAGATATGGGTAGGAGTCATAAACCAGTGTAGCCAAAGAGCGCAGGTTGACTCAAATTTTTTGTGATGTAGAATGGTTGAGATATAGGTAGGAGTCGTAAACCAGTGTAGCCATAGAGCGCACAGGGTAGACTCAAATTTTTGTGATGTAGAATGGTTGAGATATGAGTAGGAGTCGTAAACCAGTGTAGCCATAGAGCGCAGGTTGACTCAAATTTTTTGTGTGATGTAGAATGGTTGAGATATGGGTAGGAGTCATAAACCAGTGCAGCCAGAGAGCGCACAGGGTAGACTCACATTTTTGTGATGTGGAATGGTTGAGATATGGGTAGGAGTCATAAACCAGTGCAGCCATAGAGCGCACAGGGTAGACTCACATTTTTGATGTGGAATGGTTGAGATATGGGTAGGAGTCATAAACCAGTGCAGCCATAGAGCGCACAGGGTAGACTCACATTTTTGTGATGTGGAATGGTTGAGATATAGGTAGGAGTCATAAACCAATGTAGCCAGAGAGCGCACAGGGTAGACTCAAAAAAAATGTGGTCTGGAAAGTTCTTAGATTCGGTACCATGCAACTGGGTGTGTATGATTTTGTTTGTTTGTTAGTTACACGGATGATTTGTGCTAGCTCGAAATTGTAGCAGTTCTGTATGTTGTCATTATGTATTTCATTGTATATACAATCTGTCATATACATTCTTCGGAATGTATATTTTTAACTTGTCTACTAGTGTATGTGTATGAAAGGCTTTGTGTTTTTTTTTTAGCTAGGATTTGTTAGTCAGTATTTGTAGTTATTACTACAAATACTTAGGTGGGGGGTAGTGTTACGGCCCAGTTGTAGGTTAGTTTAGAATAGGTTAGAATAGTCTAGAACTAGGGGAGAGAGCGTGTGTGAGTGGAGTTCACCCTACTGTGTAGTTACCCTTGTGTGTTTATGTCTTGTAATCCCAAGGTCGAATGCGGGTATAAAAGGGCGAGTGAACGATTGTGGGGGGCAGACAGCGAGTTAGTAGCGGTTAGGACGAGGGCTGTTCTGGTACGCTTGAATGCAGTGAGACGAATAAAAGGAGTGAAGTTATACACGAAGTGTTGTTGATGATTTGAAACGAACCCAGAACGTAACACTGATGTTAAATGAATGAGTCCCTACCTGGCCCATGTGGCACAAAAGTTGTGGTTATAGCTGATGTTAAATGAATGAGTCCCTACCTGGGCCATGTAACACAAAAGTTGTGGTTATAGCTGATGTTAAATTAATGAGTCCCTACCTGGCCCATGCGGCACAAAAGTTGTGGTTATAGCTGATGTCGTCGTCTCTGGCACTGTACAAAGAAAAAATAAATTCCCCATTAAACATTTGTCTGAGACTGCGGCTTTTAAAGTTTACACACCCCAGCTCCCCTTTAGAAAAAAAAATGCGCCCCCACCCCTTCCCTGTTAATTCATATATAAATATATTTTACCCAAATTAAATAGTTATGATATAATATTAAACGTTATAAGTGAACATCAAAAGAACAGGCCCTCAGTAGTTTCTCGAGGCTTCAAGTAATGAGCACCTTCCTGGTAGACCCCACTCACTAAGCTTAGACTACTAACGCTGCATGCTCGTGCAGTGTTTCTTTCAGGCATTTTATCAAGGGAGGTGGCGGACGTAAATCTCCATGGGAGGGGGAGAGACACTGGTTAAAGAATGTATTTTCTGTGTAAATTATTTTTTCAATATCGTTTGAGGAGGGAGGGGGTCTTCCACGAAGAGATGCCTGAAAGAAACTCTGCGCCCGTGTCTTTAGACCCCACTCACTTTTGACCACTAGAACTGTCTTGCCTTGACCTTTAGGCGTCTGACCGTTGTCTCCCACACACACGTAGTCCCCTGCCTGCTCGGGGGTGACGGACTGGAGGGTGACGCTGGAGCCTGTCCCGATCACTGGGGGGAGAGGCAAGATGCTGGCTCAGGTGGTGTCGCTCATTTAACGGGTGTGTGCGTGAGTTGTGTATGTTTGGGTGTTTGTGCGTGAGTTGTGTATGTTTGGGTGTTTGTGCGTGAGTTGTGTATGTTTGGGTGTTTGTGCGTGAGTTGTGTATGTTTGGGTGTTTGTGTGTGAGTTGTGTATGTTTGGGTGTTTGTGTGTGAGTTGTGTATGTTTGGGTGTTTGTGTGTGAGTTGTGTATGTTTGGGTGTTTGTGTGTGAGTTGTGTATGTTTGGGTGTTTGTGTGTGAGTTGTGTATGTTTGGGTGTTTGTGTGTGAGTTGTGTATGTTTGGGTGTTTGTGTGTGAGTTGTGTATGTTTGGGTGTTTGTGTGTGAGTTGTGTATGTTTGGGTGTTTGTGTGTGTGCGTGAGAGAGAGTGCGTGTGTGTGTGCATGCGTGAGAGTATAAGTTTGTGTGCGTGCATGCGTGAGTGTGTGTGTTTGTGTGTGTGCATGCGTGAGTTTGTAAGTTTGTATGTTTGTGTGTGTATGCATGCGTGTGAGAGAGTGTGCATACGTGACTCTGTGTGTTTGTGTGTATGTGCATGCGTGAATTTTGTGTGCGCTTTTTGTAAGTGTGTTTGTGAATGTGGGGGGAGTAACATAGTAACACAATACTTCATTGGTCATCTAGGGAGGATAGCTAAGTAACGCGAATTGTGATTGGTCAGCTTACAGTCTTTGCCTTTCCCGTCACTGGCTTTCTTGTACCACGTGACCTCGGCCGGCGGGTTGGAGGCAAAGTTGCAGGTCAAGGTGACCGTCTCTCCCGCCAAAACCATGGCTCGCTTCTGGTAGTGGCTGTCTTGTAGCAATACAGGGGAAGATTTGACTGGGGCTGTGGACGGCCAAAACTTTAACACAGGGGAAGATTTGACTGGGGCTGTGGACGGCCAAAACTTTAACACAGGGGAAGATTTGACTGGGGCTGTGGACGGCCAAAACTTTAACACAGGGGAAGATTTGACTGGGGCTGTGGACGGCCAAAACTTTAACACAGGGGAAGATTTGACTGGGGCTGTGGACGGCCAAAACTTGGAGTTTAGGACAAAACATTTTTTACTCTTATTGCTTCGTGTTTACTAATTACTTTAATATGCAAGGCATGATTAATCGAAAATAAAATGCTTCAATTGTATAATTTAAAAAAAAATGGCAGTTTATCTACTTAACTAAAAGTCTAAGCCAGGGGTCGGCAACCTTTTGAAGCGGAAGAGCCAAAAGTTACAATTTTCAAAATTTCCCTGGTTTTAAAGAGCCACTAACATTTTTTTTATTTCAAATATTTTTTTTTTATTAAGATTATTAGTATTTGTTCAAGGAGCTGGAGAGACGCATCTTGATATCAAAAGAGCCGCATGCGGCTCGCGAGCCGCAGGTTGCCGACCCCTGGTCTAAGCCATTAGGTTTGGGTTTAAGATTGTGTTTGGATACTTGGGTTAGTGTTAGGTTTATGTTATCGTTAATCCTATTGGCTAAACTAGCCAGTAGATTATCTTCAAACGATATGGCTAAGTCCCAAGTAGATGCCTCTTGTTCATCTTAACAAACGGTATATTGACTGAACTGAACCAAATTCCCAAGTAGATGTCCAATTTTCATCTTATACAATAATATATTGACTGAACTGAACCCAAGCCTACACCTAGCATATGAAAAAACAATGTATCTCACGATGTAATCGCCCCAAGAAAGAAACACCTAACTGACTGGATGCCACCAGAGGCGTAGCGACCCTTCCCGGCGCCCGGGGACATACTTTCAATTTGGCGCCCCCTTGGGAGCAAATTTTCGATTTGCACCCCCCCCTCGAACTTTTTATTTGCACCCCCCCCTCAAACTTTCAATTTGGCGCCCCCCCTAAGGTCGGCGCCCGGGGACATATGTCCCCCCCCCCTCGCTACGCTACTGGATGCCACCAAACTACCTGAATTGATGACCTCCACTGATCGGGTCAATACGGGGTCAGAGTTCACCATGCACGTGTAGATGCCGAAGTCATCTGACCGGATGTTCTTGATCCGAAGGCTCCACTCTGGTGCTCTGTCGTGGACGATTGAAAACCTGGAGTCGCCGAGGTAATTTTTTTTCCTGATGCTGATGATTTCATCCTTGTTGCTCTTCCAGAGAACCTGCGGGAATGGGACACATTAGAGCAGGGACTGATACTTTTGTGAGGGACTGATACTTTTGTGAGGGACTGATACTTTTGTGAGGGACTGATACTTTTGTGAGGGACTGATACTTTTGTGAGGGACTGATACTTTTGTGAGGGACTGATACTTTTGTGAGGGACTGATACTTTTGTGGGGGACTGATACTTTTGTGGGGGACTGATACTTTTGTGAGGAACTGATACTTTTGTGAGGGACTGATACTTTTGTGGGGGACTGATACTTTTGTGGGGGACTGATACTTTTGTGAGGGACTGATACTTTTGTGAGGGACTGATACTTTTGTGAGGGACTGGATACTTTTGTAAAGGACTGATAGTTTTGTGAGGGACTGATACTTTTGTGAGGAACTGATACTTTTGTGAGGGACTGATACTTTTGTGAGGGACTGATACTTTTGTGAGGGACTGATACTTTTGTGAGGGACTGATACTTTTGTGAGGGACTGATACTTTGGTGAGGGACTGATACTTTTGTGAGGGACTGATACTTTTGTGAGGGACTGATACTTTTGTGAGGGACTGATACTTTTGTGAGGGACTGATACTTTTGTGAGGGACTGATACTTTTGTGAGGGACTGATACTTTTGTGTGGGACTGATACTTTTGTGAGGGACTGATACTTTTGTGAGGGACTGATACTTTTGTGTGGGACTGATACTTTTGTGACATTAGGAAAGTGAAAGATTTTACAATGTTTATTGTTCAAGTTTTTCGACTCTGCTTTTGATAACGAAATAACGATTTACCAACCTCTTGAGCACTAACACAACTTTAAAAAAAAACAGCTTTAGACACGAAGATTGTATTAGGATCTAATTACTGATTTAATTGTAACTTAATAATAGACAGTACAGAAGTTATTTAAAATTTATATAAAAACAATTAGAACTTGATAAGATCAGCTCTTAAATAAAATTTAAAAACAATAAAGGTAAAACTATATCGCCGGATCATCAATATCGACAATTGAAACATTGTCTACGAGAAAACGAAAAACCTCATCTACAAACACAACACGCCAATGGATGCATTGTTTGGATAGGTTTATAATTTGACTGACCACGCTGACCAACACACTGTACACACTGACCAACACACACGACACACTGACCAACACACACGACACACTGACCAACACACACGACACACTGACCAACATACACGACACACTGACCAACATACACGACACAGTGACCAACACACTACACGCTGACCAACACACTGGACACACTGACCAACACACTGACCAACACACTGACCAACACACTGACCAATACACTGACCAACACATTCACCAACACACTGACCAGCACACTGACCAACACACTGGATACACTGACCAACACACTGACCAACACACTGACCAACACACTGACAAACACACTGACCAACATATTGACCAACACACTCGACACACTGACCAACACACTGACCAACACACTGGACCAAATGACCTTGACTCACAATTTTATTCCCTATGTTAGCCACGTGACACGGGAGGATGACCGTGGAGCCAGAGCTGGACTCGATGGTGCTGTTGGTGGGTAGCAGATAGGTGCCCGAAGTTCCTGCAACAGAAAAGTTGGATCAGATATGTGCCGAAGTTCCTGCAACAGAAATATGTTAGAAGTTACTGGAACAGAAAAATTGTATATGTGCCCGAAGTTCCTGGAACAAAAACCTTGGATTAGATATGCGCCCGAAGTTCCTGCAACAGAAAAGTTGGAGATATATGCACGAAGTTCCTGCAACATAAAATTTAGATCATATATGTGCCCGAAGTTCTTTGAACAAAAACGTTGGATTAATAAATGTGCCCGAATTCTTGGAATAGAACAAATAAATTATGATATTAAAAAAATTCCGTGAGAAATTTATTTATTACAGAGTAGTTGACACCATTACCGTGCCATGTACCTGTTTGAGTCTAGGTCAACTCACCTGACTGGAAGTTGATAGACAGCACCTGTGCTATGTACACCTGGCCGGTCAGGCGGCACTGGTAGGCACCTGCGTCACGGGTCTGCAGGTTTTTGATGGTCAGCGTGTACGACTTGCCGCTCCTGCCAATCTTGTACCTTGACACAGGTGAGAACTTGGTGTTCCCCACGGAGATGGGGTAAGCGTCGGACATCTTGCTCCAGATTACCTGTACAAGCCAGAGGTAACCACGTGAGTGACACAAGTCAGAGGTAACCACGTGAGTGACACAAGCCAGAGGTAACCACGTGAGTGACACAAGCCAGAGGTAACCACGTGAGTGACACAAGCCAGAGGTAACCACGTGAGTGAACTCACCACAAGCCAGAGGTAACCACGTGAGTGACACAAGCCAGAGGTAACCACGTGAGTGACACAAGCCAGAGGTAACCACGTGAGTGAACTCACCACAAGCCAGAGGTAACCACGTGAGTGAACTCACCACAAGCCAGAGGTAACCACGTGAGTGAACTCACCACAAACCAGAGGTAACCACGTGAGTGACACAAGCCAGAGGTAACCACGTGAGTGACACAAGCCAGAGGTAACCATGTGAGTGAACTCACCACAAGCCAGAGGTAACCACGTGAGTGACACAAGCCAGAGGTAACCACGTGAGTGACACAAGCTAGAGGTAACCACGTGAGTGAACTCACCACAAACCAGAGGTAACCACGTGAGTGACACAAGCCAGAGGTAACCACGTGAGTGACACAAGCCAGAGGTAAGCAGGTGAGTTAACTCACCACAAGCCAGAGGTAACCACGTGAGTGACACAAGCCAGAGGTAACCACGTGAGTGACACAAGCCAGAGGTAACCACGTGAGTGACACAAGCCAGAGGTAACCACGTGAGTGAACCCACCACAAGCCAGAGGTAACCACGTGAGTGAACTCACCACAAGCCAGAGGTAACCACGTGAGTGAACTCACCACAAACCAGAGGTAACCACGTGAGTGACACAAGCCAGAGGTAACCACGTGAGTGACACAAGCCAGAGGTAACCACGTGAGTGAACCCACCACAAACCAGAGGTAACCACGTGAGTGACACAAGCCAGAGGTAACCACGTGAGTGACACAAGCCAGAGGTAACCATGTGAGTGAACTCACCACAAACCAGAGGTAACCACGTGAGTTAACTCACCACAAGCCAGAGGTAACCACGTGAGTGACACAAGCCAGAGGTAACCACGTAAGTGAACTCACCACAAACCAGAGGTAACCACGTGAGTGACACAAACCAGAGGTAACCACGTGAGTGACACAAGCCAGAGGTAACCACGTGAGTGACACAAGCCAGAGGTAACCATGTGAGTGAACTCACCACAAGCCAGAGGTAACCACGTGAGTGAACTCACCACAAACCAGAGGTAACCACGTGAGTTAACTCACCACAAGCCAGAGGTAACCACGTGAGTGACACAAGCCAGAGGTAACCACGTGAGTGACACAAGCCAGAGGTAACCATGTGAGTGAACTCACCACAAGCCAGAGGTAACCACGTGAGTGAACTCACCACAAACCAGAGGTAACCACGTGAGTGACACAAGCCAGAGGTAACCACGTGAGTGAACTCACCACAAGCCAGAGGTAACCACGTGAGTGACACAAACCAGAGGTAACCACGTGAGTGAACTCACCACAAGCCAGAGGTAACCACGTGAGTGAACCCACCACAAACCAGAGGTAACCACGTGAGTGAACCCACCACAAACCAGAGGTAACCACGTGAGTGACACAAACCAGAGGTAACCACGTGAGTGAACTCACCACAAACCAGAGGTAACCACGTGAGTGACACAAGTCAGAGGTAACCACGTGAGTGACACAAGCCAGAGGTAACCACGTGAGTGACACAAGCCAGAAGGTAACCACGTGAGTGACACAAGCCAGAGGTAACCACGTGAGTGACACAAGCCAGAGGTAACCACGTGAGTGACACAAGCCAGAGGTAACCACGTGAGTGAACTCACCACAAACCAGAGGTAACCACGTGAGTTAACTCACCACAAGCCAGAGGTAACCACGTGAGTGACACAAGCCAGAGGTAACCACGTGAGTGACACAAGCCAGAGGTAACCACGTGAGTGACACAAGCCAGAGGTAACCACGTGAGTGACACAAGCCAGAGGTAACCACGTGAGTGAACTCACCACAAGCCAGAGGTAACCACGTGAGTGAACTCACCACAAACCAGAGGTAACCACGTGAGTGACACAAGCCAGAGGTAACCACGTGAGTGACACAAGCCAGAGGTAACCACGTGAGTGACACAAGCCAGAGGTAACCACGTGAGTGAACCCACCACAAACCAGAGGTAACCACGTGAGTGACACAAACCAGAGGTAACCACGTGAGTGAACTCACCACAAACCAGAGGTAACCACGTGAGTGAACTCACCACAAACCAGAGGTAACCACGTGAGTGACACAAGTCAGAGGTAACCACGTGAGTGATACAAGCCAGAGGTAACCACGTGAGTGACACAAGCCAGAAGGTAACCACGTGAGTGACACAAGCCAGAGGTAACCACGTGAGTGACACAAGCCAGAGGTAACCACGTGAGTGACACAAGCCAGAAGGTAACCACGTGAGTGACACAAGCCAGAGGTAACCACGTGAGTGACACAAGCCAGAAGGTAACCACGTGAGTGACACAAGCCAGAGGTAACCACGTGAGTGACACAAGCCAGAGGTAACCACGTGAGTGACACAAGCCAGAGGTAACCACGTGAGTGAACTCACCACAAACCAGAGGTAACCACGTGAGTTAACTCACCACAAGCCAGAGGTAACCACGTGAGTGACACAAGCCAGAGGTAACCACGTGAGTGAACCCACCACAAGCCAGAGGTAACCACGTGAGTGACACAAGCCAGAGGTAACCACGTGAGTGAACTCACCACAAACCAGAGGTAACCACGTGAGTTAACTCACCACAAGCCAGAGGTAACCACGTGAGTGACACAAGCCAGAGGTAACCACGTGAGTGACACAAGCCAGAGGTAACCACGTGAGTGACACAAGCCAGAGGTAACCACGTGAGTGACACAAGCCAGAGGTAACCACGTGAGTGAACTCACCACCAACTGCTCACGATATGCCTATGGTTAGATAAAGGATGGAGTGAGCAAGTACAGGCCGGCAATTACGTGAGCCGGTTGCTGCGTAGTGCCGGCAATTACGTGAGCCGGTTGCTGCGTGGAATTCCGGATGAAAAGGGCCGGTAAAAAATTTAGAGATAAGAAAAAAATAGGCACTTAATGGAAAGACAGGGGCAGATAATTCACGGCACGCTTTTGGGCTGGGCATGGGATTTAGAGTTGTCTGGCCTTTTTTATACTTGGATACAACACATAAGTAGCATATAGAGAACTAACATCACATAGAGAACTAACATCACATAGAGAACTAACATCACATAGAGAACTAACATCACATAGAGAACTAACATCACATAGAGAACTAACATCACATAGAGAACTAACATCACATAGAGAACTAACATCACATAGAGAACTAACATTACATAGAGAACTAACATCACACAGAGAACTAACATCACATAGAGAACTAACATCACATAGAGAACTAACATTAGAGAACTAACATCACATAGGGAACTAACATCACATAGGGAACTAACATCACATAGAGAACTAACATCACATACAGAACTAACATCACATACAGAACTAACATCACAAAGCACTGACTGTGATGTTTTATCCTAGCGATGCTATGATACTGAACACGTGACATAACAAGGAATGTTTCCGTTGCCTAGCAACCACGGGATGTATGTGGCAGGCAACATGTTAAATATTAACCAGAGCATCGTGTGGGACGTTAATATCGATCTAGCGAAACTTTAACGGTAACATCACACATCAGACCATAAGACATCTGACATCTAGCATCATGTATCTAACATTTGACAGCAGGCATCAGCTATTAAACATCTGACATCTGACATCAATATCTAACATCTGGCAGTTAGACCAACGTCAAGATTGTTTCACATAATGAATACGACGACAAGATTGTTTCACATAATGAATACGACGACAAGATTGTTTCACATAATGAATACGACGACAAGATTGTTTCACATAATGAATACGACGACAAGATTGTTTCACATAATGAATACGACGGCAAGATTGTTTCACATAATGAATACGACGAACATATTTTTTTAACAGACGACTAACACATTTATTTGACAGACGACCAACGGATTACTTGACTGTCCAGCGACTAAGGTTGGATATAGAGTATAGAGCGAGTGCTCAAATCGATACTTAGATTTCTTTAATCAGGCAGGATCAGACAAACTTTAATGACGTGTGGTTGTGGTTGTGGCAGGATCAGACAAACTTTAATGACGTGTGGTTGTGGTTGTGGCAGGATCAGACAAACTTTAATGACGTGTGGTTGTGGTTGTGGCAGGATCAGACAAACTTTAATGACGTGTGGTTGTGCTTGTGGCAGGATCAGACAAACTTTAATGACGTGTGGTTGTGGTTGTGACAGGATCAGACAAACTTTAATGACGTGTGGTTGTGCTTGTGGCAGGATCAGACAAACTTTAATGACGTGTGGTTGTGGTTGTGACAGGATCAGACAAACTTTAATGACGTGTGGTTGTGCTTGTGGCAGGATCAGACAAACTTTAATGACGTGTGGGTGTGGTTGTGGCAGGATCAGACAAACTTTAATGACGTGTGGTTGTGGTTGTGACAGGATCAGACAAACTTTAATGACGTGTGGTTGTGGTTGTGGCAGGATCAGACAAACTTTAATGACGTGTGGTTGTGGTTGTGACAGGATCAGACAAACTTTAATGACGTGTGGTTGTGCTTGTGGCAGGATCAGACAAACTTTAATGACGTGTGGTTGTGGTTGTGGCAGGATCAGACAAACTTTAATGACGTGTGGTTGTGGTTGTGACAGATCTAGAATCTACTGTGGCTTCAATGGGAGGACCTTGTGGGTTTAAAGATCAGAGACTAGGTGGGTGTGGGGTGGTGCGGGAGTTAGTTGATAGCAGCGCGAGAGTTGGGCGAGAGTTGGATGAGAGTTGGACGAGAGTTGGACAAGAGTTGGGCCAGAGTTGGACGAGAGGAGGGCGAGAGTTGGGCGAGAGTTGGGCGAGAGGTGGGCGAGAGGTGGGCGAGAGGTGGGCGAGAGGAGGGCGAGAGTTAGACGAGAGTTAAACGAGAGTTGTGCGAGAGTTGGGCTAGAGTCGGACGAGAGTTGGGCGAGAGTCGGGCGAGAGTTAGACGAGAGTTAAAAGAGAGTCGGACGAGAGTTGGACGAGAGTTGGTCGAGAGTTGGGCGAGAGTCGGACGAGAGTTGGGCGAGAGTTAGACGAGAGTTGGGCGAGAGTTGTGCTAGAGTTGGGCGAGAGTTGTGCGAGAGTTGGACGAGAGTTGGACGAGAGTTGGGCGAGAGTTGGGAGAGAGTTGAGCGAGAGTTGGGCGAGAGTTGGGCGAGAGTTGGGCGAGAGGTGGGCGAGAGTTGGGCGAGAGGTGGGCGAGAGCAGGCTGAGAATATGGAGACAGCTGTGAGATGTTTGAAGAAGATTATTAGTAGCCCGACACAAATATTGAGAGAGAGAGAAAGCATGAGATCTAAACTGAGAGAAAAAGAGAGATAGAGGGAGAAATATATACATCAAGAAAGAAAACGAGAAGGAAAAAGAAAATTAAATTGATAGAGAAAAGGAAGCAGAATGGCGAGCGAAGAGAAAAGACTCAAGAAAAAAGGAAGCCAGGGAAACCTTATATTGTGACAAGACAGATAAAAAAATAGATTTTTATAAATGCTTCACTGACATTCACTGTCATCAACAAACTGAGACAACATAAATACAATCTAATTGTTGCTGCATGATAAAAAAAACAACGCTAGTCTCCACGTTGCTCAACATGTCCCTGATGCAGAAATCAATGCAGATTTTACGTCAACATTATACACTGGAAACTTTTGTGCGTGAATGTTTCAACAATTGGTAGAGTCTAGAGATCAACTATAGCACTAGCCCTAAACCATATCCTATCTTTGATCTAATCAGTTATACTTGATTGTAAATCATCGATAGAAAGCAGAGCTTCTTTAAGGTACCCCCCCCCCCCCACCCCTATAGCAAGTCCCGTCATTCTTGTAGCAAGTTCCATCAGTTGTGCGACCCCCCTCCCCCCCCTGAATGTTTTAAGTGCCCCTCCCCCCAAACAAATATCTGAAAGAAACCCTGGTAGATGGGTTAACAACTTCTAACTTGCCACGTAAATTTGAGAACCTTTAAGGTTAAACTGCGCATGGAGCAGATGAAGTAGAGTTCATCATTTTATTCCACATCTATCTATGACAAGAAAGTGAGGTCAAATCTATACCGAGCCGAATTTACCCAACTCAATCCAGGTACCCAACAGAGCTGAGTGGACTCAGGCACAACAAATATTCCCAAGCCGTGAAGCTAACACAGGACTTTCGGATTAGTCTTTGTGCACTTGACTACCATCATATTGTTCCCTTTTTTTTAAAACGTTGCACGTGGATCACGTGATAACCGTGGACTCACGCGACGGGTGCCAATGTCATCCACCGTGCACGTGATGACGGCGGTCTTGTCCTGTATCTGGTGCGTCATACGGATCCCATTGTCCGCGGTCTGTGACGTCACACCTGATGATGGAAAGGACACGAGTGAAATATTGATGGAATAAAAGCATGATGGTAGGTGTGGGGTCTAAAATATGATGGTAGGTGTGAGGTCTAAAAACATGATGGGTATGGTCTAAAACATGATGGTAGGTGTGAGGTCTAAAAACATGATGGTAGGTGTGAGGTCTAATAATATGATGGTAGGTGTGAGGTCTAACAATATGATGGGATGTATAAGGGTATGATAATATAGAGATTATGAGAATTGTATCTATCTCTTATGCCTGTTAATTATTTGGACGAGTCAATTATCTTTTCAAATTTACCGATCGCCAACGCCGTTTCTATCTAAATGTTTTTTTAATAAATGTCTGTCTTATTTCGGCACCTCGATAAACAAAAAGCGTCCGTCTACACGTCTGTCTGATGTCTGCATGTCTTCCTCTTGTCTGTCTACACGTCTCTCGCGTTCTACAAAAAAAATTTTAAGCAATAAAATTAAAACCCGCGTTTTTAGCACATTTCGCATACAAAGCTTCGCGGCCTTATTTATTGTTTTCTTTTATAATATTAAAACCAAAATGTGTTTTAATTTTTATGAACTTGTACACGTAGATCTAGGCCGTCCGTAATGACGTCACGCCATTTAAACCAATTTTAACTCCATCGCCTACCACGGTCACACAAGAAAGACCCAATAAAATAAGATCAGCGTTCCTGCCCGTCTTCATCGCGTTAAAACACTGCTAGTAGTAGGCCTACTACTGCTAGTGAACGTCTTAAGTCTCCCCCACACCTCACCCTAGCACAACTGGACACGTCTGACCAACGGAAGTAGCCCTGAAACATCTGGTATGTCAACACCCCCCCCCCCCCAACCTCCCAGTTTGAGAATCACTAAAGTGCTTTAACTGACTCGATAATGTTTCGCAACAACAACAAACAGCATCGAGTGACGGACAAATTGCTTTCAATTATTCCAGCATCAGAATTGTATTTTTAGTACCCACTTGACTTAACCACAGCAGCTTTCTAAAGCTCGTGCCTCACACGTGATATAGCGCTGACATTTGATTGGTTGTTGAAGATTGTAGCAAATTAACAGAAAATATGAAGTCGTGTAGTCTATGCTTTGAAAAATGACACAAAAGCCACTCATCGTTAACAAGCTAATTATCTTAACAGCTTCTCGAACGATCTTTTGAAAACACGTTTTCTTTTGCCCGCATTAACAAAAATATCACTGTATTGTGGGCACTGTGGGTATATGTGTGTGTGTTGGGGGGGGGTACACTGTGCTGTGGCTTGTTAGTTTGTGTATATGAAAGACAACAGCGGCTGTAAAAGTGTTGCACATAAACAGTCTATAGACATTCTATGTGGGGGGTAGGGGTGATCAACATTTGACAATTAGAACTACTAAACTGTCATAAATTTAGTTCTATATATTTAGAAAGACACATACAAGCAGTACACACAGACATAAAAACAGACATACAAACACACAGACATACAAATACAGCCATGCAAACACACAGACAAACAAATACAGACAAACAAACACAGACATAGAAAGCTACAAATATAGAAAAACACGAATACAGATGTACAAACAGAGACATACAAATAAAGTCATGCAAACAAACATACAGAGACATAAAAACACATATACAAACAGAGGCATACAAACACAGACACAAACGCATAAAAGCACACAGACCCACAAACACGGACCCACAAACACAGACACACTAGTTCCAAACATAAACATACAAACTCTTACCTTGATATGGCAGTAACACAGGTCCAACGAGCGCCAATAGAAAAAGCTGTTTCATCACCATCTTGGGATACGTGTCCATCTCTAAACCTTCTGACCACTGGTCCAGCACGCGTGTAGCTGTGAACACGTGTGTAGCTGTGAGCACGCGTGGTGTGTAGCGTTAAGACGCGCTGTGTTGGGACACCATCTCAAGTCTCACACAAAAAAAGTGATCCGTTTATCAGAGGATAAACTGTCCGGCCACTAACCAACCACTGACCGGGTTGTCAACGCTAGCCAACCCTGCCCGTAGTCCCGGGATGTTTACACAAGGTTGACTCAGGTATTTCAGGACCTTGATCTAACGATTGGACGTAATTTTCAAATTCTTGAGACGTCAGTACTTCCAACTCGCTCTGAGAGATAATAAAAAAAAATGTAAACAAAAGTTCATGTAGGTCAAAGATGGCCGAGTTAGTACACTAAGGAGATTAGCTCACGTCATAGGGTTAAGGAGATTAGCTCACGTCATAGGGATTATCTGAAGTCGTAGACAAAGTTAGGGAAGATAATTACAAACATTACAGACAGACTTTCGTTACAAGTTAAGATGGGGATCTTATTTTGGCTGATCCATGATCTGAAACACAGACTTAGGATACGTGTAAAATGTTACACACATTTGAAGAAATATCAAATATACAGACATCTTGATATACGTCCTAGAAGAAATGCGATCTCAAAAATGTGTTGCTACGCACATCTAAAATGTGCCACTACGCTCATCTCAGAATGAATACAAGACATTACATACATATCAATACAAATGTCACTACGCACGCACACCTATCTAATTGTAATGTAAGTACTATACATTACTGCTACACATATAAAATATATCTGGGAAAGTGTGGGCCCGCACATTAATGTAATGTGCCACAACGCACAACTCTTAATGTGTGTAACAACGCACATTTCTCTAAGATATATCACTAAAATTGTCTGTAATAATGTGTCACGACGCACAAGTATATGTTACACGGCACATTTCTCACACAAATGTAACTACGCACAACTTTCCTACAGCCTGTATTGCCCTATATCACAACAGTAACTACGCACAAATTTCCTTCAGCCTGTATTGCCCTGTATCACAACAGTAACTACGCACAAATTTCCTTCAGCCTGTATTGCCCTATATCACAACAGTAACTACGCACAAATTTCCTTCAGCCTGTATTGCCCTATATCACAACAGTAACTACGCACAACTTTCCTACAGCCTGTATTGCCCTATATCACAACAGTAACTACGCACAACTTTCCTACAGCCTGTATTGCCCTATATCACAACAGTAACTACGCACAAATTTCCTTCAGCCTGTATTGCCCTATATCACAACAGTAACTACGCACAACTTTCCTACAGCCTGTATTGCCCTATATCACAAGAGTAACTACGCACAACTTTCCTACAGCCTGTATTGCCCTATATCACAACAGTAACTACGCACAAATTTCCTTCAGCCTGTATTGCCCTATATCACAACAGTAACTACGCACAACTTTCCTTCAGCCTATATTGCCCTGTATCACAACTGTAACTACGCACACATTTCCTTCAGCCTGTATCTCGATGGCCCGGCTTGTAGATAGAAAAAGATCGACGTTAATGAACTCAACTTAATTCTAGCTGACATGAGAAGACTGGTCACGAAATGTCACGGGGGGGGGGGGGGGGGGGGGGGGTGAAGGGGCATCATTCGTGGTGGTAATAATCAGGTCATGAGATAGTGTGGCATTATGTAACGTCATTTAGTACAGTTTGCTGTGATGCAGCTCAATGTGACGTCGTGTATGACGGGGTACCATGATTTAGCACGCTAAAAGGTCTTTTGGTTTGACATCACGTGTCTCGGGGTAATTTTAAGTAGCGCTGTATAAGGTCATGTGACGTCATGTAGCACGGCGTGACCTGCTACACACTTGACATAAATCCCTGAGTTATGACACATCAGACACCATTCATCATTGGTGGTTTTTCCCACTCTGACACAAACTTTCTTCCTCCATTGCCGTGATTGCCTAAATTACGTCTACACATCTTCCCGTATGCCTAGCTGTAATTTACGACTATATATTATAGGAGCCGTAAATTGTCTGGGCCGCCTGCTAATGAGAGCTGTAATGAGCCAGCTTTAACTGCTAGCTGTGGTGAGAGCTGGCCCAACTAAAGCTGACCCCAGCTCCAGACGGAAAGCCGGTATAATCTGGGCAGCTTAGACCATCAGCTGTGGTAGTGGCTCACTGAACTTTGACCTTTGGGGGTTATCATTAGTAGCCAAACTCAAATCCGAAGTTGGCCGGCTATTCGTAACGCATAATCCAGTTGACCGATTGTTGGTTATACAAAATCCAAAGCTGGTCATTTGTTGGCCATATAAAATCAAAGGATGTCCATTTGTTGGTAACAAAAAAAATCTATATTTGGCCAACTATTGATTGCGAAATAATCCAATCTGTCAATGTGTTGATCTGACAAAAATAATTCCAGGAATTATGGCCCGCAGGAGACATCAAAACATTTCCGTTTAGCGCTTGTACTCTGAGGGTGTTAGATCACATCAAAGAAAACAATTCATAGCACGATGTAAACAAATCTTCGGCCGTGGACAGGTAAGAATACATGAAGAGTAGAAAATATAAAGAATTCGGCTACACACTAGGGACACATTGAGGCACACACCTGAACTAAAACACACCACCAGAGATTAAATAAGCATCTCATATCTTGCACTAATATTAGACCATATACATAATAAAACATACAGAATAGAACACATAATAGAACACACATAATAGAACACACATAATAGAATACACATGATAAAACACAATAAAACACACGTACTGCAACACATAATAGAACATACTTAATAGAACACATAAAAGAACACACAGAATAGAACACAGACTGAGCACAGCGCATTAAAATATCTACTTCTAGATCCAAACCTTCGGGTATCCAAAGCAATCAAGGCTCCAATCGGCCCCCATAATACATCGGTGTAATTAGGCCTCTTTAATCTAATGAACTAAGCCTCCACACCTACAAATGCAAGCACTGTTTGATTACTGGTAGTGCTACACAGTTTTCGCTTTGCATAACATATGAAATGGTGAACACACCACCAACACATGAAATAATGAACACACACCATCAACACATACAGTAAAGAACACACACCATCAACACATGAAATAAACACATATTTCAACAAATCAAATAATATCCAATTAGTATGAAAAGCTGCGCAATTACGACAATGATCTAACGCAGTATATTTAAGTTGAATTATCACTCGGATTGCTAATCACAATACAACATACATACATTATGATAATCCAACTTGTATCATGATACTTGTATCACGAATATCCCGAGGCTTTTAACATGGATAAACATCACTCACCGGATTGAATAAGTCCGATAATTCAGTCAACAAGTCGAGGGAATTATCTCCCTTGGTCTATAAATACACCGTCGGTAGTTTCTACGAGAACGAGTCGGAGATGCGCACTAATGCGGCTCATTAGGCGAGACCGGCGCGAGCTAATGCACGGCTTGTGAAGCTCACTGGAGTGTGTATGACGAAAGTGTGTGTGGGTAAGTGCCGGATCCTGGAGTACGTGGGGCGGGGAGGAGAGCTCACCAAGACACTATGTCAACACGTACATTAGGCTGGATCGAGTGGGGGCGGGGCAAGGGGGGGGGGGGGTTGAATGCGCCATAGTGTCGGACAAAAGTGAATGTTATACATTTGTTAAGTGGGCGAAAGAAAAGGGGTGTTGAGGGGCGGGGTGGAGGCGGTGTTACTGAATGTGTGGAGGGTGAGGGGGTGGTGTAAAAGTCATTTTGACTAACTCTTATTCTATTACTGCTGGTAGATTTAGGATTTGGGTAAATGTTAGGTTTTTGTAGAAATTGGTGGATTTTTGTTTTCTAATTAGTTGCGATGTAGATGGTGCAAAGGCGTAGCGAGGGGGGGGGGGCGGGGGGGGGGGGGGACATATGTCCCCGGGCGCCGACCTTGGGGGGGGCGCTAAATTGAAAGTTTGAGGGGGGGGGGTGCAAATCGAAAGTTTGAAGGGGGGGGGGGTGCAAATGAAAAGTTCGAGGGGGGGTGCAAATCAAAAATTTGCTCCCGAAGGGGGCGCCAAATTGAAAGTATGTCCCCGGGCGCCGGGAAGGGTCGCTACGCCTCTGAGATGGTGTGTAGTTTTGTGGGTTGATCCTTGGGTTGCTGTGTGGGTTGATGTTTGTTTCTATTTGGGTTGTATGTAATTGTGAAGGTTTTGGTGTGGGACATATTGTGGGTAGTTGTGTGGGTTGTTGTGTGGGTAGTTGTGTGGGTTGTTGTGAAGGTTATAGTTTGTTGATGTGGTACTGATCAAACTGGTTCGATGGTGTGGCTAGTGGTGTGGCTAGTGTGAGTGTTTTGGTTGATGTTGAGTTGTCACCATGTAAAGGTGTTTTCTGAGGTCAACACAAACATAGCTTGACCATGGGAACAACATTGAACCTGGGAACAACCTTGACCCTGAAAACATCATGAGCATTGACAGACCCTGGTCACAATGTTTCATTCCTTATCCACATCAACCAACTTACGGGAGCGACTCTTGGGCTAATTCAGACTTTTAAAACAAATGTGTTATAAGGTTGGCCACTTGATGGAGTTTACATTAGCTGCATCTGTGTTGGCCATGTTATATTAGTTTCTATCTAGTTTGGCCATTTTACATTAGTCACGATCTAGTTTGGCCATTATGCATTTGCTTACATCTAACTTGGCCATTTTACTTTAATCACGATCTAGTTTGGCCATTATTAGTTTCTATTCAGTTTTGGAGCCACACACACACACAGATACACATATACACACACACAAAACGTAAACACACTCACACACAAATACTCTACCCCCCCCCCCCCAACACACACACACACACTACTAACTCATTAGATAATACCATGCATATGGATTATATGTCTGTCAAATCTAGACAGCCTCTTACAGACCAACATGGCGACAGTTGACGTCTGCAAAACTTGAAATGACTCACGCGACTGGAAGTGACACTTGACCCCTATTGTCTGGTCTGCCATATATTTTAATTTTTTTTCTCCATGCCAAATATGACAAATCTGAAGTACAACTCAGTGTGAACAAATCTGAAATAGCTAACAATGGCAGGTCATATGCTAATTGTAGAGGTCATATAATAAGGTGTCATATAACAACGAAGTAGTCATTTTTAACGATTAACCCCCCCCTCCTCCACCCTTTGCCTAGTTGTTACCAGAGCTTCTTTCAGACATCTCCTCTGGGTGGAGGGGGGGAGGGGGTATAATCACCCCCCCCCCCTCCTCGGACGAACTAGAAAAAATTATAGCCTATAATTATCGGACTTATAATTTATGTAGAGGAAATATACTTTCGAGTGCCCCCCCCCCCCTTTCCCCACCTTCCCCGGAGAAATATGTCTGAAAGAAACTCGAATCGTGACACAGCATCACAACCTGGCGGACCCCTTCCCCTACTTCCTCCCCCCCCCCCCCCTCGCCCAAAAATAAATCTTGCCATCATACCTAAGCTTATTACCTCTCTCAAACTGAATTTTCCTTTTTAAAAAAAAACTGTCTGATTCCATCCGGAAGGAAACACACATGTTCAGTGGGAGGAAATTTTTTCAAAGAAAAAAATAATTTCTTTCTTATATATTTACTGAGCTCGGTCAACATTGAGTGTATCGATCGATTTTATTGTCTTTTTAAAATAAACAATCAAAACCGCGAAATAAAGGCTCAACTCAGTTTCTACCATTACGTTTTGAAATGCAAGTGTGTCGTCACACTTTATGAACCTCCCCGTCCCGAAAATTAAAAAATTGGCGTCGTTTATGGACGACCCCTAATCTAGATGGGGGGGGGGGGACCACGTATCTGTTTACTTTTATTATTAGACCGTAGAGAACAGCAACAGCTTATTTTCGTGAATTATTGGTGTACACACATTGCTGACCCATCTGGGTGAGTGATGTCATTGGTGTACACACATTGCTGTCCCATCCGGTTGAGTAATGCAGTTTGTTTAAACATTCATTTTCTAACGCTTTTTCATGCCTAACCATGGCATGTTTCTTACGTACACGTACACGTACACGTACACGTACACGTACACGTACACGTACACGTACACGTACACGTACACGTACACGTACACGTACACGTACACGTACACGTACACGTACACGTACACGTACACGTACACGTACACGTACACGTACACGTACACGTACAATGGTTGGTTTTTGTGTGTTTTGTTGAAACGGTCATTAGACTAAAACAGGTTTTGTAAAGTCTTCTATGAATAATCAATAGCAGTAGTTGGTTAAAGTCAGCGGTTTAAAGTAATTTAGACATCGTAGCTCGTTTGTGTGAAGTGTAACACAATATGTAACTGACAAATCTTATAGATAATATGTAACAAATGTTACATATAATATGTAACATACAAATGTTACAGAAAATAGGTAACAGGGAAATGTTATAGACATTATGTAACAGATATCTAACAATTTATGTAACAGACGATATATACAGGCTACAACATGAAAGAGTTTGGTTTTAAACAAAGAAATAGTTTAAGTGGTTATTTTCCTTGGTAAATTAACCATCACCATTAGGCCTCTTTACATCTTAGGATCTAGGCCTCGACACCTTCAAATGCAAGCACTGTTTGATTACTGGTAATGCTACACAGTTTTCGCTTTGCATAACACATGAAATGGTGAACACACCACCAACACATGAAATAATGAACACACACCATCAACACATAAAGTAAAGAACACACACCATCAACACATGAAATAAACACATATTTCAACAAATCAAATCATATCCAATTAGTATGAAAAAGCTGCGCAATTACTACAATGATCTAACGCAGTATATTTGTGTTGAATTATCACACGGATTGCTAATCACAATACAACATACACACATTATGATAATACAACTTGTATCATGATATTTGTATCACGAATATCCCCAGGCTTTTAACATGGATAAACATCACTCACCGGATTGAATAAGTCCGATAATTCAGTCAACAAGTCGAGGGAATTATCTCCCTTGGTCTATAAATACACCGTCGGTAGTTTCTACGAGAACGAGTCGGAGATGCGCACTAATGCGGCTCATTAGGCGAGACCGGCGCGAGCTAATGCACGGCTTGTGAAGCTCACTGGAGTGTGTATGACGAAAGTGTGTGTGGGTAAGTGCCGGATCCTGGAGTACGTGGGGCGGGGAGGAGAGCTCACCAAGACACTATGTCAACACGTACATTAGGCTGGATCGAGTGGGGGCGGGGCAGAGGGGGGGGGGGGTTGAATGCGCCATAGTGTCGGACAAAAGTGAATGTTATACATTTGTTAAGTGGGCGAAAGAAAAGGGGTGTTAAGGGGCGGGGTGGAGGCGGTGTTACTGAATGTGTGGAGGGTGAGGGGGTGGTGTTAAAGTCATTTTGACTAACTCTTATTCAATTACAGCTGGTAGATTTAGGATTTGGGTAAATATTAGGTTTTTGTAGAAATTGGTGGGTTTTTGTTTTCTAATTAGTGTAGTTTTGTGGGTTGATCCATGGGTTGCTATGTGTTTCTATTTGGGTTGTTTGTGGTTGTTGTGTGTGTAGTTGTAAAGGTTTTGGTGTGGGTCATATTGTGGGTAGATGTGTGAGTAGTTGTGTGGGTTGTTGTGAAGGTTATAGTTGGTTGATGTGGCACTATTCAAACTGGTTCGATGTGGCTAGTGTGGCTGTTTTGGCTGATGTTGTGTCGTCACCATGTAAAGGTATTGTTTTCTGAGAACATCACGAACATAGCCTGACCCTGAGAACAGCTTTGACCATGGGAACAACCTTGACCCTGAAGACATCATTAGCATTGACAAACCCTGGTCACAATGTTTCACTTCTTATCTACATCAACCAACTTACGGGAGCGACTCTTGGGCTAATTCAGACTTTTAAAACAAATGTGTTATAAGGTTGGCCACTTGATCGAGTTTACATTAACTGCATCTGGGTTGGCCATGTTATATTAGTTTCTATCTAGTTTGACATTATACATTAGTCACGATCTAGTTTGGCCATTATACATTAGTCACGATCTAGTTTGGCCATTATACATTAGTCACGATCTAGTTCGGCCATCATACATTAGTTTCTATTTAGTTTTGGGGACACACACGCACATACACAAATACACACATAAAAAACATAAACAACTCACACACACAAATACTCTACCCCCCCCCCCCAACACACACACACACTACTAACTCACTAGATAATACCATGCATATGGATTATATGGCTGTCAAATCTAGACAGGCTCTTTCAGACCAACATGGCGACAGTTGACGTCTGCAAAACTTGAAATGACTCACGCGACTGGAAGTGACACTTGACCCCCATTGTCTGGTCTGCCGTATATTTTTAATTTTTTCTCCATGCCAAAAATGACAAATCTGAAGTACAACTCAGTGTGGATGAATCTGACAAAGCTAACAATGGGCAGGTCATATGCT